CGAGGGAGAATCTGGGTGGGTCGAGGGAGAATCTGGGTGGGTCGAATAGATCAAACATTTAACACATTTCCAGCTTAGAGCCAAATCTGGAGAAAATTAGGTAATCTTTCACTATTCAAAAAGTCGTGTGATAACCAAAATTTCACCTAACATTACTTCATAATTATTTATTTGCAAGGGGCAGTAAGTTATACATTCAGTACATTTACAGTTTAAAGGTTAGTCACCAGGGCCTAAAGTTTAAATTCTTAAAGTACCCTAAAGTATCAAGTGTAATTATTTTGTCTAACGACCAACACAAAGCCGAGGTCGAATAATGAGTGAGGGTCGAAAATACCCTATATTTTACGTCGCTGCACAATGTTCAAGCTGGATAATTCACTAGACGTAAATATAATACATTGTTTATCTGCATTCTGCATTGACTAGTTCCCAATATGATTTTCTTCTTGTTTTGTTATTGTTATTTTGAAGTTATTTCTTAATCATCATATTACGTGTTATTATGTTTACGGAAAGTAAACGAAAATACGTCTTATAGCACTTGAAACACATATTTACACTAATACTGTTTTAACAAGAGACATAAATGTATATCAAATTATGGTGGTGCTTTTTGATTTTGATGATCGTCTATTGGGTCTGATGATGATTGGAGTGTCCAATCAGATTTGATATCCACTACCACCTTTTATATGTATTTACCGTCTTGTTAGAACAATATAAGTGTAAACGTGTTTCAAGTCTTATTGGACTATTCTTTTTACTTTCCATGGTATTTAAAAGTAATATTTCGCAAATACACTAACACAATAATAAATACAAACTACCAGTGAAATTATTTTGTATTTTAACTTTTCTAAATCTGAATCTGTGTTTGTATTGAAATATATAATTTAATAATACGATAAAAACAAAAAGGTAAGTAATAATGATATAATTATATATCTGTTAAACGAGATTATTTCATTCGTCAAAATGAAAGGATGAATTTCGTAACTATAAAATGTACAGCTGATTTCCTTTTAAAACTAATACCTCATCTACTAACATGAAGTAATTAAGGTCCCAATACAGGAGGCACTGAAAACCTATCTGTTGCAGCTGTAATATAGGAGGCACTGAAAACCCATTTGTTGTAGTTGTAATATAGGAGGCGCTGAAAACATATCTTTTTCAGATGTAATATAGGAGGCACTGTAAACATATCTGTTGCAGATGTAATATAGGAAGCACTGAAAACATATCTGTTTCGTAATATAGGAGGCACTGAACACATATCTGTTACAGATGTGATACAGGAGGCATTGCAGAATGATTGTGCAAGATGCACGGCCTCCCAGCGGCGCTCCGCCGTGGACATGCTCAAGTTGGCCATGGAGTGTAGGCCAGCGCAGTTCCAGGAGCTGGAGAAGAAGTTCGATCCCCGAGGCAGGTTCATGAGCAAGTACAAGAGACGGGGTCAGGGTGTTGGATGGCAGGGTGGGGAAACACCTCCCGTGGCCAGACAGCTTCCCACTGCTCATAATCGGTGCTTGGTCATTTAACGAAACATATCCAAGGTTTTTGATAGTGTGGAACGAATTTGAAATTATAGTTTGCTGTTTGGTCAATTGCATTTGAAGTTTTTACTTTTCCTTCCTCGATTACTTGATTTTTGTTTGAGGCGAAATGCTTCACCATAAAATACATTTTTGTATCTACCAATTAGAAATTATTTCTTTCCTCTATAGAATTTGATTGGATTCTAGTACACTTTAATTTATCAACTTTTTGGTGACAGTAGCATAAGCATCAGTCTCTATATCTTTTACTTTTGATCCTAAATTTGAATTCCTCTATAAGGACCCGTTAGTCATTTTTTTGTTCAAATAGGTTAGTGTGTGCTATTGTCAACATTCGATTTTCTCTTTAGATTTCGGTAATGTGATATTTTGATGTAACAAATGATACTATAGTTTATGATAATTCGTCCTTTCAATTTAGCTTGGTTAAAAGTTGGCGTAATAGATAGAAATCAGTAATTTTTTATCAATACACATGATTGTGGCTTATACTGAAACAGGCTACGTCACAGAGAAGTAAGAAAGAAACACTTCTCTATACAATAGTTTACATACAATATAATCCCATCTTACTTCTCTATGGCTAGGTCAATTTTTGTTCTCAATCTGACGACCCAATTTGACATTGGTATGAGATTTATACTAGTTAATAGTCATGATCTTAGTCAACCAACAAATGATTTATGAAGCTGTCAAATGTTTATTTATCAATTTGTATTGTGTACATACGAATTAAAGTTTTAAATATATAATATTGTTTGAAAAATGATTTAAAGTTTATTTACATCCTTGGGTTTACTATGTCGGTATTATTTAGTTAAACAGTTTATTTTAGTGCATAATATATTCATCCCAAATGGTAGGTAAGCTTTAGAGAAGATCCATCCTTGAGGGTTCTACAATTAAATGTTATGAAACTCCTGTGGAAACGTTAAAGTCTTAAACTATGATAGCTTCTTAAACAATCAAGTTTGATTACATTTAATAATTTCGACCGTCTAGGCCGACATGTGTTGTTCAGCTTTCGTAGTAAATCTTCATTTGATGTTTTACAACTACATGGCGTGTCAGAAGAAAACACCAAACAACAATAATTGGCGACCTCTGGTTTGTTATTAGGCTTAACTTCTAATTCTAATGAATAATTCTCAAGGTCTCCAGTGGAATAAACTAGCATGTCGGATGAGGATCATTTCCTCCCAAGAACCCACGGCGTGTTCCTAGAGTGAGTGAACATCTGGTTAATACCATTGGGTTATATAGTCAATGTTAATACCTTTCTGATTTATATCTGGAACCGCTAGAACATAGCGATATCAAGAGCTTCGTATGAAAACTTCTTTGAAGTTTTTGATCTGTTCCTGGTCCAGAATTATTGATTATCAATGATTTTTAATTAGCAATTCTTTGAGACAGCACTACACGCTTGAGAGCTTACTTTAAGCTGAATATGTAAGCATGGTAGGTGAGGAATGGAGTGAGAATATTTGTGTAGCTTTCTTACTTACTAAAATCAGCTGTTTTATTAGTTAGAACATCACTTCGAAAACCACTTTTTTGGGTCCAGGCAAGGCCCCAATAGAAAATACAGGCTATGCTGCAGCGCGGGCAGTGCAACACTACGTCACAGTGGTGGATAGTTGTACTAAACTCTTACCATTAAAATCTTACAAACAGCCAGCTTGTTTATTTACCTAAAACATATGGGAATGGTGATGGTAGTGAATTTATCAATGAAATCTATCCACTAGTGTGACGTCATGGATCCTGCAGCATGGCCTGGTCCAGTGGGGCAAAAACGGATACATCCACTCAAAACTCAAACTCGAACATTTTGACGAAAACAATACTTTCTCCATATACCGTAGTATAGGGGGAGAAAGTAAAACAATTTGGAACGAACAGTATTTTTGTTGATCTTTTATGTCACATAAATTGTAACCCTAACAAAAACTTGGGGAAGTAAAATTTTAGACTTTAGCACACTCTGGTGAGTGTCTCATTTAACTGTTTTCTTTAATGAAAAAGTGGTTGGTCCGTATAAAAACTTCAGCAACCAAAAGTCAATGATTGAGGATGTATACAATTCTATTTCTATTGTTTCTAAATTTATATTAAGTGTACGATATGTTGGCGAAAAGTCAGCAGTTTATGAGATTATTACATGCATCAGGAAGTGGTACTAATTATATAGACTGTTATTATTCTAAACAATAGTTTTTACCACTAGGGTTTTCCAAGCTGCATTAACCCACCATTGTCCTTTAACCATGTTTTTCTCAAGCCAGTAGAGAGTGCACTATCGCACGAAGACTTAAATGTTATGTGTTAGTAAATAAGTGAGTTTATTGGTGTTGTTTTTGGGATTGCATAGTGATTGAACTAAATATTTTATACGGGTGGGCATTAATTGCGCCAACCGATAGTCGGGTATTCCTGAATTGCGCCAACTACTCCAGGGAGGAACCCCATAAGTTCATTATCTGGGCCGCAAGTGGTGGTCATCTTTGACTGTATAATTGAATAGGTTAGGTTAGGTTATGTTAGGTCAGGTTAGGTTAGGATAGGTTAGAGGTCACGTTAGGTTTAATGAGTTTGGACCGCTTTCCCCTAAAAGTGTTTCCATTGATTTACCTAATTATAAAAATGCCACTGGCAAAGCAAAAATAGATTAAATGAACAAAATGCACTAATTATTCCAAACACTTATCAAGAACAGCTGGGTCCAATTTTATTTTGATCCACCAAAAAGCTACTGACTTATGTCCGGATCGAATCGACGACCTTCTGATTACTTTGCTATTTCTGGAATCTTTCAGCTGTGAGCTCTTTGAAGAGCTTTACTAATTGTTCCAGACAAAGAATGTCCACGTGTTATTGATTCTGACCTAACATGACAATTATCACACTCAAATGCAATTACTAGAGGTTTTACACTTGACAATCAGCTGTTGGAATCCGAGTGACCTTGGCTGCTCCTGGTTCCTAGTTCATCTTTTTTCCCGAGGACGTTCAGTGCCACTGGCCGTATTTGGCGCGACACACATGACTGTGTAAGACAAATTGCTCTTCCGTATGGATTTGGAAAACAATAACCTTAGTTGAAAACATAGCTCATCATATTTGCTGGGACAACTTAGTGAACAAAGTGCTCACATTATAGACATAGGGTTGCAGGTTCGAGCCTGAGAAAAGTCAGTAAATGCTTAAGGTCTCAGCTACATTTGATCATTGGGGTTTAATTAAATGGTCCTGGCAAAAACAAATCAACGGTCTTAAGTAAACGTTCAAAATAAAATATCTTACATTATGTATTTATTTATGTGTGTAATCAATTGTTCGTGTTTTCATTAAACTAAAAAACCGGCAATAATAAATAGTGGATTTAGTTATAAAGTGTATTTACTATTAAGAAAATAAACACAAGTAGGTGATTAAAAGTAATTTATTTTGGCATTTTATAAGTGAAAAGGATACAATAAAGAACTGTATGGACGCCACATTTAATCACTAAATGTTCTAAAAAAACTCCTGAACTTATTAATGTTGTTAGAAAACCCTTTTAATAGTTGTACAAAGGGAAAATGTCTCTCGATAGCAAATATAGAAGAAACAACTTATTTTAAATTTATTAAATTGACTAATGTTGTTGATCAAAAAATCTTCAGCGATGTTTTCTTCTGAATCGTTCATTAACTCATCACAACCGTTAATAAAAAAAAGAGTTCAAGAACTACTTCCTAAATGAATTTTTCATATCATAATTAGATCATAATCTCAATCATAAGTTCTTGCATAAAATTGGGATAGACTTCCGTATCTGTTGGCACAAACAACCGAACGAAAATATCGATCGTTCGATTGTTTCGTTCGATATATCGAATAATCGATATATCAATCAATATTTTCATTCGGTTTTTGTGCTAACAGATACGGAAGTCTACCCTAAAACTGTATACGCGGATGTTGAGTAACAAATGAACTGTTGAAGAACTGTTCTTGAAGAACTGTTCTTGATGAATTGTTCATTTGATTCGCTCAAACCTTGATGCCATGTTGTGCTGCTTCGGCTCGATACCTCTGACGATACACTCCCTGAGGATCATACTTCTTTTCCAGCTCCTGGTAAAGATTAGGTCTCTTGGAGATCAGGAACCTGGTCACCTTCTCGGTCCCTCCTTTCTGTTTAGGGGTACACTTCGCGCACGCCGTCTTCAGTGCGTCAGGGACTGCCTCTGAAAAGTATAAAGATATATTTGTAATGAATATTGTTTTTGTATAAACAATTGGCTTAGTCAATCCCGGTAATTATCTGGGTAGCCGAGTGGTTGTAGTTCTCACCTTTCAATCTGAAGGTCGCTGGTTCAAAACCATGCGAGATCGTTTCCAGACATAGATGTCATTATTTGTTATTGGGCTATGAATTAATGATGCTATCTAACAACAAGGTCGACGTTAGAAAACAAGACCAGGGTATGGACCGTTCCCTTTCAAAACATAAATAACCATGACCTACACTATAAATTACTAAAATATAATATAATAGAACTAAAATCTAAATCAAGAACACAACAAAGAAAAAAAGAAAAATTCATTAGTAAACCGATCAAGAGAACAACAAGAAATTCTTTTCAATATGTTGAATACAAAATTGGCTTTAAAAAAAAAATAACGCTTTCAATATGATAACGATCAATACCGTAAATAAAGCACATATACATATCTACGAAAAAATAACAAAATAAATAAATAAATAAAAAAATTAACTGCACTGTTTGTGAACAATTCTACATTGGACAGGACTTTTTTATATGTGCAAAGTTTCACCACTTAGCGAATTATTTCCAGGTAGAGGGGTATTTGTACCTAAAATCACTGGAATATTAAGAGTAACAACAGAATGTCTATGAAATACAAAATTTAAGCCGCAACAAATTTTCCAAATCCTGTCCAACCTTATAAATGATCTGTATAATTCAAATGATATTTACACAAAACAAACAACGTAAACACAGGTTGAGTAAAGGTTGCCAGTGGTCAAAAACTCGACTAAAATATGTAATGTACAGACTTATCTATTTTCACCCAACGTTGTAAATAAAACATGTTTTCAAGAAACATGCTTGCCTATTAATTACGACTTCAATTTTAAGTATGACAGGCAGTGTTTAAGTAAACTATACGATTTCAATTTTTAATTTGAAAATGGTCTCATGTCCAAAACATGTCAATTGTATAACATCCGGATGTACTTTGTTAATGTAAATAAATGTATTTATTACATGACTAGGCACGTTTTGAGAAGGATATGATAATAGTTTAAAATAATAAGTAGTGAGGAACCCTGAAAACCAAGAAGGATCCCACAAAAATGGTGGAAACAAGTGAATTGAGATATAGAGCGGATAAGAGCGTCAGAGGAAGATGCAGAAGAGAGAGGGGGGAGGATTTGGTACGGCCAAATATATTTATATATCCATGGCCTTAGGATTAAGTAAGTAAAGTTCAAAAACTCACTCTTAAGTTCCTCCCCCTCAGGCGTACACTTGCCACGGTCCATGAGACAGTTGAAGTAGTTCCTGAGAAGCCGGTCATTCTTCAGTATCTGGTCGATGTTGACGTTGTCAAACCTCGTCGTGTAGGTGGAGGCGGGAAGAAGAAGAACCGCGGGTAGACATACCAGGACCACAAGGAGGCTGGGATGCATGGTGGCCAAAGGACTCGACGACTCTGAAGAGTTAAGCAGGATAAAACGGTTAGCGACCTCGAGGACCGGTTGCAGGATCAAGTTTGTAAATGCAAATTATGAACAGATTTATTTGTCAGAGATGACTTGTAATTTTCCGTGATAGGTTTTGTCTCGTAGGAACATAAACAAAGTTACTTCTCCGAAGTGAAAAGATTTATACAATAGTTGGTTGGTTAGAAACAATGAGTAAAGTGTAATAGTACATTTAAATGCGCCGAAACTGTTTAGAGTTTGAGCACACGTATTAATTTAACTATTTCTATATAGCGGAGTTTTATTGGCAAGTCAACATGCAAATAAGTGGTATGATAGATTTGCGGTGATACCCGTAATTTTCCATGGTGATAAGTGGGTTTTGTTTGGTGATAAAGTAAGTTATTTCCCCGAAATTTCAAAACGTTTTCGTCACGATCATGGTAGCATTGTGCTATGGTTGGTTAGAACCGATAAACATTCAAGAGGTGACGTAATTGTATATTTAAATGTTGTGGAGCTCGAAAATGATTATGGTGTTAAGTATATGTCTGATTCCTGAACCAGATAACACGAAAATTCGTATATTCTACAAAAACTAAACAAATTTGAAAGATTCGATTGGATAGTTTACTGAGAATACTTAGTTTATTTCATCAAGAAAGAACATTAAAAACCACATAATCAAATTGAATATAACAAAAGCATGACTATATTAAGGTTGACGTTGATGAAAAAACAAGTCTTATCAATGATAAAAGTTTAGTAAATCCAGTTTATGTGTTAAGAATTTCGCAAGAAAAAATTCACACATCATTAAATTTAACTAAAACCAGCTATATCACCCACATATATACAGCACTATTTGGCCAATTACTAATTTGGGTAGCACTACTAGGCATACAACTGTGAATACAACAAAATTTGTATATTTTGTTCCCCCTTCACATCCTAGGACTCTTTGCTCTATCTCGGACTCGATTTATTAATTTCTCCAAGCTATGCTTAGAGAGTAGCAGATTTGTCATTGGTGATTGTCGGAATTTGAACCCGGGAACTCGAGAACCTAATGATCGTGCTATACCACTAGACTAGATAGTTCCCCATAAACTAACTGTAGCAAAATGTTGACCATGATTCAAATAATATATTCAACACCATACTGAACATATTTCCTGCACATAACCATTATCCAACACCCCTTAAAAGCGACATTCAAAATCTCCCTAATCACGAAAAGTCAAACAAAATTACATCAATGTTCGACGTCATATAGTAATAATAAAACACCTTATGCCTTTCCAATAAAAAACGTAAATGATTCTAAACACTACAAACAAAATTTTTTCATTGGCTCCAAGATGCAAAAAATCTTCCGAGTATTGACAATTATTTACAACAACTTGAAAAATGCTGGTTTGTCATCAATAATTGCAATAAGCGAGCAAGGCCGATTGCGACAGTCCACACTATATAACAAGACCAGTCTAACCTACGTGCAAGTGATGACAATGTACTTAGCAGTGTTAGTCGTCTGTGGGTTGGCCGTGGTGGCGGCCGACGACCAGTACACGACAAAGTATGACGACGTCGACCTGGACAACGTGCTGAGGAACAACCGTCTGCTGAGGAACTACCACAACTGCATCATGGACAAGGGGCCGTGCACGCCCGACGCTCAGGAACTGAAGAGTGAGTAGAGGGTAGGGAAGAAGAGGAATAGACGATACAGTGTGAGTTAGTAGAGGATAGAGAGTAGTGGATAGTTAGGAAGTATAGGCTAAGAGGAAGTAGAGGGTGGTGAAGTGGAGGGTAGTAAGTAGAGAATGTGAATAAGTAGATGATAGTAAGGGACCAGACGATAGTGAAGAAGTAGAGGGTAGGGAATGGACGATATGGTGTGAGTAAGTAGAGGATAGAGAGTAGTGGATAGTTAGGGAGTATAGGCTGAGGAATTAGGCTGAGGTAGTGAAGAAGAAAATGGGCACTTCTGAAGTGTTGCTATGTGATGATGCTAAAATCCTCCAGGTATAGCCTGAAGTTGTGTAAAACCAGTTCCAGACTTAATAAAAACTAGCAATAAAGATTGAGGAGGAATGATGGTGTGTAGTATAAAGGAGATAAAATAAGTAAAATGGGTTAGAAATAGGGATGGACTGATGCGATGAAGAGTTGGAGGTTAAGAGGATAATGAGAAATATGATAAATAACTTTATCATGGATAACACATAGTCTATGGTTGTATGATCCAAGAGAAGGAAACGGAATATGATACAGAGAACATATGATTGAGAGAATAGTCATAATGGTAGTTAGATCATTTACAGTACAAGAGATATTTACATTTTTGTAAAAAAGTGATCTGGAGACGAAAAGATGTACAAATATAGTCCGGGTCAAACATTGTTGGTTGATTCTTTTGTATATATTGACTTAAAATGTAAAAGGGGATTTTAAAAGTAAGAACCTTCCAAGTAGGAGTATTTTTTTCAAACTAAGTTATACAGTTACAGTGCTCCACTTACCTTAATATACAGGGTTAGTAAAAAGTGTGGAGACCCCCTGTTATTTTTTAACGGCCCATACTAGAAAAACTAAACTCGGCACACCTTAATGGCATGTTATGAAGTACTTTTTGGGCATAACCGTCACTTGGTGTACTTCCCCAAAATGGGGGATTTTGGGGGAAACTCAAATACAAAGACCTATCGAGTGACCCCTCATTTTGAAGGTCCTGGTAAAAGAAAACCAAAAACGCAAACTAGAGGTCCTTATCTCAATCCAGTAAAAAATGGCAGCCAATTGAAATTCTCAGAAGTTGAATTTAACTTGCAGCTTTCCAAGTCTGGAGACCCCCTGTAAATTTTGTAGCGGCTCACACTAGGAAAACTAAACTCTACACACCTTTTTCTCATGTTATGAAGTACTTTTTAAGCCTAATAGCCACTTGCTTACCAAACCCAAAATGGGAGATTTTGGGGGAAACTCAAAAGTTTTAAATGATAAGCCCCATCAAGTCACCCCTCATTTTGAAGGTCCTGGTAAAAGAAAACTAACAACGTAAACTAGAGGTTTCTATCTCAATCCAGTAAAAAATGGAAGCTGATTGAAATCTTTAGAAATCGGAAATAACTTGCAATTTTATATTCAATTGGCTGCCATATTTTACTGTGTTAAGATATAGTTTGCGTTGTTAGTTTTCTTTTACCAGGACCTTCAAAATGAGGGGTCATTCGATGGGGCTTATCATTTAAAATTTTTGAGTTTCCCCCCAAAATCCCCCATTTTGGGTTTGGGAACTTATGAGAATTTCAATTGGCTGCCATTTTGTACTGCACTGAGATAGAGACCTCTAGTTTGCGTTGTTGGTTTTCTTTTACCAGGACCTTCAAAATGATGGGTCACTCGATGGGTCTTTGTGTTTGAAATATTTTAGTTTTCCCCAAAATCCCCCATTTTGGGGATGAACACCAAGTGGCGGTTATGCCCAAAAAGTACTTCATAACATGCCATAATGGTGTGCCGAGTTTAGTTTTTCTAGTATGGGCCGTTAAAAAAATACCGTCTCCACACTTTTTACTAACCCTGTATATAGACCGCGCACAAAATTTAGATGGTTTAGGGGATGGTTTCCTGGGTTCCACCACCACGTTTTTTTTTAGCTTAATCTATATATCAGCTGATCAGCTGTCGTCTGTAGTTTCAAAGTACTGGCGGGGGAATAGAATCGTTTCCCTTAAAACCGCCTTAATTTAGTGAACGGAGTATTATAGTGCTGGAAATGTCAAACCATATCTTGGATTAGAAGGATTGTTGTATGAATTATTATTGACGATTTACATTTAAACAATTTTTTTACGAATTATTGTGAATTGTGGTTGTGTAACTATTTCATACAACATATAACCCAATATTCTCTTCCGCGTTCTCTTTCCATATCGAAGCGTGGTATAGCAGCTAGTATATTTGAATTCTATGGTAAGGTCTAGACTCTAGATAGCTAACCTGGTGGCTAACTTTAACTATTATTTTAGAAAACCTTCCCGAGGCTCTGGACAGCGAGTGCGCCAAGTGTTCAGAAAAACAGAAACAAGGGGCTGAGAAGGTGCTGAAGTTTTTGTATGAGAAGAAACCACAGATGTTTAAGGTTTGTTTACTTCCCTGACTCGTTGAATTTTTTTTCAATAACTGTAAATTATGGTTTGATCAATTAATTTATTTTCAAAGCTATTTCATTTAGATTTTTTTATGTAGTATTGTAAGTATCACCAAAATGTTAGTCGTATAAAGTGGTGTAGGTTAGATACACATAATTTTGGATGAAAAGTGTTAATTTTTCAAGATGGTTTGCTGTTATCTTAACCCCACATATTTTATCCTCTATGTTTGGTCAGGTTAGCTAACCTAGTGAAAATAACAGTTTTATATATGCATATAATTATAACCTATCACGATCAGTATATTTTCTATAGAATAATAATCTTACCTATCCGTACCAAAGGCATGGAAGAAGGGTTGGAATATTTAAAATCCTTTTAATTATACTTCAAAGAAAACTTAATACATCATCTTTCAACTATAAAACTGTCCTCTTCTGTATTAAATTCCCTGTTGCTACCTTTGAACATTCAAAGTTGATAATCCTTCATAATTTGATCATATTTGTACCAAAAATAAGAATATCTTTCATCAAAAAACAATTTAACATATTGCATGGCATCCGTCTCAAATATTAGGACACTACAACATAAGCAACCAAAAACCTTTTGGGAAGTGACTTGAATATTTTTTCATCTCTCTGTTCTCTTATCTCTTTAGTGAATTTATTCAGATATTTTACTCCAGTTTTAGAGGACAGGCTTAAGGCTGCTCGGAATTTGTTTCTAGCCACCCTGTAAAGTTCCCTACTCCTTGTGAGATATAGGTCTATAACCTAACCTAGAGTTAGGATGAATTTTCTAATAAAAGCATCTAAATCATCCACTAGCTTTTATTTTTAAAAAAAGTTTCGATATGGAGTTAAAATCGAACCTATGGCTCACTAAATCTGCACACCCACTTTATCTCAACTTGCTGCTGTAAAATGCTCTAACATATTTCCAATCCAACCTAAACATACACATACAGTAGGCCCAATTGGGAAAATACAAGTGTTGGAAAGTGTTAAAAGTGTTAGAAATCAGTTCTTGTAAACCCAATGTTTGAGTGATTTAATACTTTATCTGAGTGTTGTATACAATTCAAACTGTTTTAACATGTTTCAGGAGCTGGAGAGCAAATTCGACCCTGACGGCAAATACAGGGCTAAGTACAAGAAGAGAATTGAAGCGGCTGGAGTAAGAGTGTAAATTGTATATACAAAAGATGTAAATAAAACCAATGATTAACTGTATTTTAATCCGTTGATAATACTGTTTGTCCACTTAAAACTATTTTCTTTATTATTAAGGTGACTACATAGTGTTCGCAGACATATCTCAAATTACAAATGTAACATTAGACAATATTGCAATTGAAATATTATGATACAATCAGATTTTCAACAGCTGCTGAACAGCTAAAAATCGCGATACACAATAATGAAAAAACAGCTGCTGCTGCTGTTACAGCTACTGCGATAACATTTGCTGAATTGGGCTTCCAACATGATTTATTCGATACTGTAAATTACGGGTTTTTTTTAAATATGTCAACTTTTCAACCAAGCCAATCCCAAAGGACACCTCATTGTTAACGCATATTTTACTTCACGTAAAACATCAATGTATCAAAATCTAACATACACAACTGAGTTTTGACCGATGAGAGCGGTTGAATTATGTTCTTTTTAATAAAAAAATCTTCGGCTGGTCCACGTAAATGGGGTGTCTAATTTAGTATCCAAAAGTAAAAATGTGTACCGCATTCCCCCTTTATTCTAAATTGCTTGTTTTAAAATTATTACAAATCGATTTTGTTATAAAAAAATAAATAAATAGAGTATTAAAATAGATTTTTAAATCCTGCAATGTAAGTAAAGTATATTTTGGCACTTACTTTGACCCACTTAATACACTAATCATACATGGGAATTTTCAAATTTTGACACTTTATTAATACTTATTTACTCTTATATATTATCTTTTTTAGTACGGTCTAAATACATTTATATACAATACTGTATTAGTATCTACGAGGATGATTTAAAATATTTTCTTAGTTTCCTTGTCATTAGTAAGGTTGTGATAACTAAGTTCAGAACTAGTAGTACTTTGTATATAAACTAGTAAAGTATGAAAGAGTCTGAACCTACTATGGAACATTTGTAGATCACTTCTGTGTGTGTACAGTATTGCAATAGTTTCCTAAGGTTATTGCCTAAATTGAATTTATTGTCAATGAAAGAATACGAGTTGGATAAACTGTATTCATTCCAAACCGTAACGGTTTCAATTACGTCCATAATGCAACTAAAGCAATTACTTACAAACTAGGATGGGCTTAACTGAAACCAACCTCCTTTAAGGTACCATTTAAAATGGATCAAAACGCAATTATTGTGAAGATACAAGACATACTCTCATAGAATGCTTTTGAGAGTTATCATAAGTTAAAGACATACAGAGTGTCCTGTAAGGAAACAGCCAGACTCTTAGACATCCAACATTTTGTATTTTTTACATATTAAACATTTTAATCTTTGGATTCCAATCGATCTCTATGAAACTTGGTTTGTATGTTAAGGAAGAAGGTCTAGGTAGAAGACCTATGCTAGGAAAAAATAACTTGGCCCAATTTAAAATTTCAAAAATGGGGGCCATTTATTTTTAACTTAAAGTTACTAAGAAATTACAGATTTTATGAAAAGTAAAGAACATTTTTATTTAGGATTCGAAGAGATCCACTGTGACTTGCTTAGCCTTATTTTATAACTAAATATCACTTTGTATTTGAAATTTTATAGAATCGAATCATCCCTTCATATTTCTTGTAACTCGGTGCTATCGGAATTATGTAGTATCTTGGACATTGGAAAAGTTTAATTAGCCAAATGAAGTCAAGAAGTCTTGCCCTCGCTGAATTAGTCCAGTAGCCAGTATTAATAATAAAATATCAACCATACTACTCACTGGTCCAACTTTAAATCTATTATCAATTATCAATCATTGAGATGGGGACGCCACCTAGGTGCGTATTTTAACCCAAAATATGAGTGTAGAATGGTGTGAGATGATCTGTGTAGCTTTGTGACTCAATAAGATCAGCTGTTTCATTAGCCAGGGTCATTTATTTTCATCACAATGATCAGGAACAGCTGAGTCCAGTTTCGAACCATAAAAAAGCTACTGACTTTTTTCAGGATCGAACCGGCAACCTTTTTATTACCAGGCGAGCACTATAACCACTCAACTACTTTTCATTAGGAATTGAACGTATTCTAAGACTAGGTTAGTTTACGACGCAACAAATCAAGATGTGTATTTTGAGGTTAGGATGTGTGAAAAATGACAGTTGAATGTGATCGTAGCTTTGTTACTGACCAAATCAGCTGTTTCATTACAGAACGATCTTCTAAAAGCCCAATGTTTTGAACTATGACAAAACTTCTGACTTCTCTCAGTGCCGCTGGCAACCTTTCGACCACTAGGTTTATTACTGTATTAACTTAATATTACTGGGTTATTTACTATATTCACTCAGCAACCCAGCTATGAAGAAACACATTATAATTAAGGAAATGAAGTTCAACCAATTTAAGCTAAATTGTAGGCCTACTTATCGGAAAGGTTTCAGCAAAATTTCAGAGACTAGTACCTTGCTTTTGAGTTTAATAATTTACACTTATAATTTTTAAACCTTTAATAATATTTTATGGCTGTTTGAAACAATACAAGTCAACCAACATTAAACTTATTTTCTCAGTCAGAAAACCATACAGGTAGCAGATAAAAATACTCTTCATGATTTTAAGATTTACAAATTATCTTTGTGGCTTGAATTGATCAACGAACTAATGTTATAAGGTTTATTGTTATTGATATAATTAGCCTTACTTTTTTACTTTTTTCAAAGAATGTGTACATTTCACAAACGAAGCTATAATAGACTTGAATCAGTGTTAACATATTACATCTTGGATTAGCGTTTTTCTTTTTATACCAAAAATATTCAAAACACCTCATCTACAAAATGGTTTCAACCAGTTCTTTCATGGACAAATAAATAAGTAAGACTGCAAAGCACTACACTATTTTAAGATATATTTTAAAATTTAGACTTCACATCAAGCCACATTTTTTCAACTTGATTCATATTAGAAATTAAGCATCAAGCATTAAGAATATTAAAAGTCACTCGGGTTTAGGTATGAAGCAGCTTTATTTGGTTTTAGAAGAGTTACAGTGACGTCACTGGAAATATTTGGTTTTTTTTCATTTTTGTTTCACAATATTTTGGCGAGGAAATCGAAATCAAACCTTGACACCAGCGGCCTCAATCCTCTTCTTGTACTTCATCCTGAAACAAAAAAAGAAGATTATATTCAGTTGCTTTGCCCATTACATCAAAATAGGGTTTGATCTGGAGGACTCCAAATTATACTTGGACCTATTTAAACTGAAATAATAATTCGAAGAATTTGTAAGGAATACTAAACATGTATGTATCTTAATTTCAAAAATATTTACATTGAATTAAAGTGATAATTTGAAAAGAAGACACAAGAAATATTTATAACCAATATTACAAACAAGTCTTTGAAAACAATTATGGTATTTTGGTGCAACTCTAATTAAGTCAACTTCCATGGAGTGACACCTTACTTGGGAGGTATTGATGATATAAGTAATGCACATTTTCCACAAATGATAAGTTAATTGTTGACTCTGACGTTTTTTTTAGAATCAATGCCTTTTGTCAACAACTCATACAGCCTAATTGCATTAATCTTATCTTATCTTACTAATATTATAAATGTGAAAGTTTGTGTGTTTGTTTGTTTGTTTGTTTGTTTGTTTGAAGTTCAATCACGCATAAACCACTGGACGGATTGGGCTGAAATTTGGCATGATGATAGCTTACATTCCCGATTAACATATAGGCATATTCTTATCTCAAAAATCCTTTCGGGCTCCGCCCCAGTGGCTCTGTAATACCCATGTTAACCTTATGAGTATTCATATTTAAAGAGAATTAAAGAATTTAGTCAGCTGTTTCAACTAAAAAAGTTGGTTCTATGATATGGAAAAGCATAAAAAAGTTATAAGATTTACCAACAGGGAGCAGCACTATATTTTTTGCATTTATGAAAACAGATAATTTGAACTAAGCAGCAAATAAAAACTGTGATTCGCAATGAGAACTGTCAAAGTAGGATTGTTTACAGTTATGTTTATGTTTTTAATTTCATGAATAATTTGTGATATTTTGCGAATTGTTGATAATTTATTTTTCTCTATTGTTTAGGTGAAGTGGTAGAATATTATGGCTCTGGTAGATGTGTAATAACTATAGAATACTGTAAATTTAAAAAAGCAAATTTTATCAAACTGTGTCCTCCCCCATTGCAAACGCAAAGCTTGAGTATTATAATTGTTAATTTTCATTATAATTATTAGTTAGGACGTTATTTTATATATCAAAGCTAATTGATCAGTTAGTGATACAACAATATTTTTATAATTACCTGTACTTGTTGTCGGGGTCGTATTTAGCCTCCAGCTCCTTGAACATGTCTTGCTTCTTCTCGTATATGAACTTAAGAACCTTCTCAGCGTTCACACTCTGCTTTTCTGAACACTTTGAACATTCATTCTCCAACGCTTCTGGCAGATTCTCTGCAATCATGGTTATTTTATGGTGAAGTGTCTTTTGGCTTTGAGTATTCTGATGAAAAGATAATTCTTATTGTTTAAAAGTTTAACTGCTATTTACCTGTACGCGATAGCTTTTTTTGGAATTTTTTTAAGGTAATATCTGTACATTTATTTTTAAAAGAGGTTTCACAATATACATTACTAAACAAGGTCAAAACCCGTAAGAATTTATTTCTTTAAAGAGAGTTTGTCTTTACAGATAATTTAAATAGTCTAATATTGATTCTTCTCTAAAAGTTTAATATATTTTTTAACTAAAGACACTATGATAGTAATTTGAAATTTTAGATGGTCATCCAATTAACATTACCATTAATTAACATTATCGAAATTTTTGGGTGTCTCATCTTTTACAATCTTTTAAAATCCTAGTACAATTATTTCCTTAGAGTGCTTATAGACTTAGAGTCTTTAGAGACTTAAGAGTTTTTAGAGAATTAAAGTCCTTAGTGACTTGAAGTCCTTATAGACTTAGAGTCCTTAAATTGTCTTGTGAAGGTTACAGTTGCACAAATAACACAATTTACCAGTTGGCATTTTATTTCAATAGTCAGCTGTGAGGTTAGTGAAAGCTATAGATGGTAAATACTATTATGATGACCTAAGCTATCTGATTTGTATAAAATATAAACCTCTTCATTACCCATTGTCTATTTGTCTTTTTTGCAACTGAATTAGTAGGGTTTAATCCGGTCTCTGGTAGTCCAGTTTGCAAAATTTCAAAACCTTCTGCACTATTTTGTTTCATCTCTAAACGAATATATTTCGGTACCATAAAAATCATTGACACAAAGAATACGTAGACTAAATAAAAAAATTATAATTGTCTATAATTGAGCTGCAATTTTACATTAGACTTAAAAATTACTATTAGTACTCAACACTATTATAGTACGAATATCGTAACAAATAAGTCAACAATATTTAAACAATAACTAACTTGAAAAACAACCAACGATATATTTTTTTACCGTAATCTATATAATGTTACATTTAAAATAAAGTTTGTAAAGCTCCTTTGGGCTTAGACCGTTAATGAAACAATAATGGTTGTAGTAATAATCATAATTTGAAAATGATGGCTGAAATCAATAAGATAGAATGTGCTCAGAAAGAAAAAAGATTTTTGGAACATTTCTAGAAAAAACTAATTTCCAAATATCCTTTTAAATTTTAGGAGACCCAACGCTGAAAAATTATGAATTTCTCGTTTACGAATACGGGTGGTTGGACAAATATGACTAGTTACTACTGTATTAAACTTTATTAGGCTTTCGAGCTTTTACAAATTTTAGTTTGAGTTAAAGAAGTTTGTAAAATGTTAAAATGTGGTAATGGAGATTAGATTAAAACAATAAATCATGGTTTATCATAAAAAATAGCTTACTGCATGAAAAATACTGGGTGTCAAACGAATTTGAATGTTAATTAAAATGTTGCCGGAATACATAGGCCTACAGGTAAACATTGCGTTATTTATTAAGGTTTGAGGTTTGGAAAGTTATACAATATTTTTAGGACATTTATTGTTCAAATCACTTGAAATATATTTTCCCTGTTTAGTTTACTAACAAATAATGTTATATAATGACCTTAATTTATTTTGCTTACACTACAGAAATTGAGTACACCAAATCTTTTAGCTACAGTCCCCATCGAAGATTGAATTGTAATTTAGACCGACAAAAAGTACTGCATTTAAGAATAAACTAGTGTTAACAATCACAAATCAAATATAGCTTTAAACTGTATACTGTAAGTTCAGTTAGAAATCCATTGAAGAAGCTGATTATGTCAAAATTACAAAGATTACGTCACGAACAGTTTGAATCTATTCCTGGAAACAGCTGATTTGAGCAACAATCCTATCTACCCAGCTGACAATACTGTATTTCTTTATTCTCAGCCTTTTAATACTGTAGACTTTAGTAGACTTTAGAACCTTTATATTACTATTTTAAGGTTCCAGCCAGTTTAATACGAACAGAAGTTAGTTGAATTAAAACATTAAATCATGGGCAGCGTGATAATGCAAAATAATAACACAACTCTACCTAAACAATGTCCCTTTTTTTTAAGAAAATGTTCCCAACTCTTAGTCTATATAGATGGGATGTCTACAAAGTATACACTCAATGCTATAACATTCATAAGATGTGATCATGTAAATCTATCGAAAAGTCGAATAAATGAAAAACCCTTCTTAAATTTTTATTGTACTCACTCTTCAGCTCCTTGCCGTCAGCTGTGCAGGGTCCCTTGTCCATCAAACAGTGGAAGTAGTTCTTGAGAAGACGGTCATTCTGCAGTATGTTGTCAATATCCACATTGTCGAACTTCGTAGTATACCCATCATCGGCAGCCGCCAACGCCGCCAAAGCTACCACAACTGAAAACACGATCGCGTACATCGTTGCTTACTCTATGTAACTTCTCGTATTCTGTTTGGTTGTCAGCTGTTTTATACCCGGCGTGGCGCAATGTGGCCTTGCGTGGTTAACACTAGAAGTTAATGCGGGAAAAAACTAAAGTGAAGTCTCGGAAGTCATGGATGAGCGCTTGAGGGCGCTAGCTCCTAATTTGCGGGGATCCGGTGTTTTTGCGCTCATGAATTGCAAAGTTTGGATTTAGTTAGTTTAAGCTTAATTATCTCCGAATTTAACAAGCAAAGTTCATAAAATGGCTCTTTGTGAAGTTGCTGACTATCCAATTTGTACAAAACCCTCTAAGCACAATCTCCTACCAACCAAGAAACGAATGCGTAGCATTAAACCCGGAGGAAATTCACTATGTGAGCAAGACTATCAATTAAACTTAAGTTTCTTGATGGGCACATCTTCATACTATCCTATAAGGACATTGACAGGCTTAGAGATACCTGTAACACTCCGTACTTAGCCATTCCATCCCCATGTTAAATTTGTAGCCAGATTTTTTATCAAAATCTTCGTAGTTGATGTGAGCCACCTACAGATTGCGCTGATCTAAATTATGTCAAATACACAAACTTTTTAATAAGTCAAACTTAGAGGATGACTTATGATGAGTTAAAGCACCGGTTATGACTCATCAACCTGGTCAACAACCAAAAATAAGGTATAAAATCGAAGTTTTACACACTAGCGCATTCTGTGACTGGCTCACACAACTACGTTCTAAAAAATTGGCTACAGCCCATATAGATGGGAAGTCTACTTCAGTATCCAATAGTCAATGCTATAATACTTATGAAAAGAAATTTCATGTCAGATATTGCTAGCATTGAACTCATACTGCGCTAATATTGTAAAAATGTATGACTTAGGAAAAGCACACTCCTCAGTTTATAGCTCTTTCGACGACACTCCATATAAAGTCTTGTTGATCCATGGGAGAGGATTTAACAGTATTCCACAGTGTAACGACCCTCGGAAGGTCGATGGTCCCGGAGGAGAGGTCTGTTCCAAAGGGAGTCATCTGGCCCAAGGCTACAGGACGCAGTCTTCGTGCAAGGATATGTCTGCCTAACGTCTGCTGAATAAAGTCATGAAAGCTCTTTTTTAAGCAGCTAAACAAAAGTCTTTTGTTTCAGAATAAGCCTGCGTCACTTCGTGACTTTAAAATCCGTTATACACGTTATAGTGTAACTTATAAGGGTGAAAACGTTTCCCATCATATCCCTATTATTTACATTGCGTCCGCGATTACTTCAAGGCATCTCAGTAAAATTACAAATGCTAATGAAACATACTATGAAAACACAAAATCCTATCACAACACAATCCAACGTAAGTAATTTCCTTCTTTACATTTTATACAAATTAGCATTACAACATTTTACTTCAATTCACTGAAACTGAAACTACAGATAGCCCCATTTTCATATGGATGTAAACAAAATTGTATTATGGCCATCCGTTTTGATGTAAACAAATGTAAACTTAAAACAGGTCACATGATTAAGAACAAACTCTGAAATTTTAAAAGCCTATATAGTATGACTAAGGGCTTTCACGATATATAATCCAAACCCGCAAAAGGCACATCTAGAGGACAAATAAATACAAATAAATATTCAGGGGTCGATTTGCTGCACACAAAAATCCAACAAATTCTTTTTCCTACAGTCACCCGACAAAGTTGGCTTCCTTGTACTGTTCTGTTTATAGTACAGAAAGCTGCTAATTGCTGCATATTTATACTTTGCCGTACGGTTTATACTTTGCCGTACGGTTTATACTTTGCCGCACATCAGGATTCCAACGAAACAACACAAAACAGCGTGGTTCCATTATGCACGTAATCCGTGTACGCTTGGAAATAGGTTGGCAACACTTAAAGATAATTATACTATGAACAGCTGATTGACTATTATAACTACGATTTAACCTGTCATTTCGTGTTTATAGTTTCGGTATTTCTGAACTTTCTGGACTTTTCTTTTAAACGTTTTTAAAACCTTCCTACGATCTTAATAAACAAGAAAATACCTTTTAAGCATTTTTTTTAGGCGCGGAAACCACTTCAAATTACAAAAACATACGGAACTATATTCTCAAAACGCGGAGCACATTTCTTGCCGAGGAAAAATAGCGGAGTGATATGGACCGCGGGTACTACTTTCTCTAGGGCACCATTTGTGTTGCCAGCTGAACCTAAAAACGTGTTGCATAGTGTTTGAAAGACTAATTATTTATATGCTTTATACTTATAGGAAAAATATAATGTGTAACACGAGTGAAAAAAGGCCTTTGCTGCACTCGAGATCATTCCACACTCGCCTGCGGCTCGTGCGTAAACATTGCTCTCGTGTGCAGCAAAGTGCCACTTTCACCACTAGTTACACAAATAACTATTAATAATATAGATTTACAAATCATAAAAACATGTTAACATTGACATTACATATTTACAATGGTTCGAGTGTCACTATTTTTTGTATCATTGTCAGTGACGCTTAGAGTTGATGTAGAAGTTTCAACCTAATTTTAGACAATATGTTACATTGTCCTCTTTTCTCTCTGTACTGGAGGAATGGTTTAAGTTTACGAATCGATTGATAGTTGACATCGATTCATTCAACATTCAACTGTAAACATGAACAGTCTCTATCGATAAATAACATGGGATAACCTAAAAGTGTTCAAGGCTGGTCCATAGAAATTAAAAATCTCTAGTACTACAATATATGATATGGTATTAGATTCATGAGCTATATTTGTGAGTCGATGTAGTCTTAACCACTTTCTAAACCATGAAAGATTGCCTAATAGATACAATTTAATCAAGTTGTACGTTATTTCCTTACATTTTTCAATGTGTGTTCATATTTTTTTTTGTTTTAATACTAAAATCAGCTTCAAACAAATACGCAGGATTCAATTGAACTTTTGTGGGAATTGGACTCAGTTTTGTTTAAATATACAGATTTTAAGCTTAAAAAGACACTAAAACAGTTTGTAAATAATTACAAGAATAACTAGATTTTTCTGTCTACAGTTATTTTTAACATAATAGATACATAATAATAGTAATGTAATCAGTTAAGTCAATTGTTCGGTTTTCAATGGCTGATTGCGTCTAGGTGGCGTTCTTCAATTCAGATATGATAAAGGAGTTTTTAAAACTATTAGAACTTATTCCCTTAAATCTTTTCTGTTTGAACAGGTTTGTCGACCTACATGATAGTGTTTTTAAGCCCAAATTGATTAATTGACTTGCCTAAACAGGTCCTTATTTTAAAGGGATTTCCTAAAAAAAACTACATTATGCCTTTCTAAGGGATTTTCTAAAAAATGTAGTCCTAATATGTCTAAGTATTTTTTTGATCCTTCGGGTAATTTCTGATAATAGCTACCCCTTTATTTATTCAACCAATTTCACTGGTTTCAGTATTCAGTAACATATGTGCCTACCCCCGACACAGCATATCTGTAGACTAAGCGAATTTCCATTTGCCTGATCTCTTCTGACCCTTTAAAACATTTCCTTAAACATACCAGATGTATTCCCTAATTGAATGATCATATGTTCAGAAGTTTTTTAAAAACGTTTGTGAAGAAATCATAATAAACGCCAAGATTCTTGATGTGAAGCTAGAGACAAATAGTTGAAAGAGTGGAACTGAAGCTAGCAAGACTAGCACGTGGACATAGTTTTTATCCATTAATATTCAATATTTTCCTCAAGAAATAGAGCATTACATCACACAACCAGTTTGATCAGCAAGTCAATACGAAGGTCTAAGGCCAGAATGATTAGGTGTGACATGTGGTGAAAGCCTAGCTTAGTCTGTGACGAAGATCTGTCAGACAATGTCACGAATGTCGATGATCTTCTTGGTCGCCGTCGTGGTGATGTCTTCGACATCCGCAGAAGAGACGTACACCAACCGCTGGGACAATGTGGACGTGGACCGGATATTGAAGAACGAACGTCTTCTCAGATCGTACTTCCGGTGTGTCATGGACCAGGGGAAATGTTCTCCGGATGCTGCTGAACTAAAGAGTAAGTATATAAGTGTACTGTTAACGTTTGTGTATTTGAACAACCCATCTTGAACTAGCTGTTTGAAGTTCTGTGAGCCAGTCATAGTTTGTACTAGTGCCCAAAGTTGTATCATTTACCTGCAAAAGCTACTGAGAAAATTGACTTGAAAGATGCTATGGCTTAAAAAAAATCGTCCTATCAGCCTGACTTGGTGAAAAAGTCTGCATGTTCGCCATAAATCAGTAATCTACATCAGCGCAGTCTGCCGATGGCTCACTTGAACTACAACAATTTTGATATGAAACTTGCAACTGCTTTAACATGGGAAAGATTTCTAGTTCTATTATTAGTAGAAGTTTTTAAGTACTGAAGAGGATAGTTCGCCAAAATTGACTAGCTGTAGCTAATTTTTTATTTAAATTTTAAATAGTTGGATCAGCCATTCACAGGAAGTGCTGAAACAACTTGATGTTCTTTAGTTTTTGATACAATTTATGTGACATATTATTGTTTATATATTTAGGATTAGTTAAATTGTTTGGCTACTCAGCAGAAATCTGTAGATAATTTCTCCTTAGCCTACTCTATTGTTGACTCGATAACGTAGATTTTTGTTGTAAAAATATTTAGAGATTATTTATATAGATTTAGAATGGGAATTGAAAGTATACTTAGTAGTAATTTAATCAATAGTCAAAAGTAAATGTCGCAACGTATCTAGTGAATCCACATAAATCTGTTGTTTGGTACATAAAAAGGTTTTGAGGTAAAATCTTTCGAAATCCATGAACTTAACACCTTCCTCCTTATGTCTTTGCCACCCTTTAACTTGGGCTCGTACTTCTGTCCATACTCTGAGAAAGATTTACTCCCTTGGTAAAAAAAACTTCCTGGAAGAGATTCCCTAACCCATGGTTGACCAATTATTTGCTGCTATGACAAAGGCAGAAATTGGTACTATTTGAGTTTTGATCAAATATGTTTCTTGATGACAGACGTGGTAGATTCATATTGTAGTTCACTAATTTATAAACTTTTATCGGCGACTTGAATAATTTTAAAATACTCACAAATAACTGTGTTATTGTGGCTTTACAATAAAAATCAGCCATTTAAACAGACTATAAGTATTGGTGATTGAAAACCCTTCATGAATGTAGCCATCTTATTGGAACAGTTAGTATTTGATACCTATTATAACGTACTATATACCAACAAACGTTTCCAAGGATTGTGTACTTTAGCTGCTCGGCAAACGGTGTATAAATAGTGGGGGAATAAATTTCAATAATTAATTAGTCCAAATAAAATTACAAAATATTTAACATATAAATTTATTTCTGATCTTGAAATCAAATTTTGTATTTTCACTACACAAAAGCTATCCTACCCGTTAGTAATATATATGTAGTTGTGCGAAATGTGGCTATTTTAGGAAGAGTTTTAAGACATTTAATAATTCAATAGATTAAAAGTGCAATACAATTGTTATAATGTCCAAATATTTTCGTATTAATTTTAAGCTACCCAACTGGTTATAAGATTTTAAAAAATCTAAAAAAAGTCATCTCACTTTCTGTTATAATATTTTGTACAGTTATAATCAAATTCATATAAGGAAGGATATTTTTCTCCTAAATTTAACAATTAGATTTACATTTAGCAATGTATGTATATTTAGCATAGTCAGATATTTTATATTTTGCTGTAAATTGTGTTTACGATCTTGATTAGCCTATATCTTGATGATTTCTCAGACTCAGGACAAATACGGTATGAATTACTCACAATTATACATCTATAAAGAATATAAGGTTATATATATTTTAATAAGAAATTTAATGTGCAAAAGATTTTACTCTTTGGCTTCAAGTCTTAATATCTTGAAAAAGTAATTCACTTCAGAAGTCTACAAGTTACTCTACCAGTCTATGATGACCATCTCATACTAAAATACTTTCAAGCATGGTTGTTTGTAAAAAAATTATGTTTTGTCTAGATGGGCCATCCTACAGTATATTGTTTTAAACTAAAACGTTAAGCATTGAAAACATTTAAAAAAGTTTGCTGTTTTTTTTCATTAATTGTACAAATCTAACACACAAAGCTATCATCCTTCAGGATTTTGTGAAGGATGGGTATTTAATGGATAAGATGCCAGCTCTAACTGACAATGATCAGCTGGTTCAAGCAACCATTTATTGAAATCCCAATGATCAAGAACAGCGCCGATTTCCATCTATCAAAATGCTACTGACTTTTCAGGATCGAACCAGCTACCTTGTGATTGATAACGACTCAGTTTCCCAGCTGTTTTTATGTAAACTTTTGGCAAACTGGCCACTTTTTAATATTGTTTTTCTTGTTTCCAGAAAATATCCCAGAAGCTCTAGGAAACGACTGCGCTAAATGTACGCCGAAGCAGAAAGCCACTGTTGATAAGGTTATGCGCTATTTGTTTGAGAAGAGGCAGGATTTGTTTAAACAGCTGGAGCGGAAATACGACACCGAAGGAGCTTACCGGATAAAATACAAGGACCGCACAGCTGGTGCAAGATAGAGAAGAAACTCAGTTTGTAATTTATTTTGTAAAAATGTAACGATTTTCACAGTTTTACCTATTTATGTCAAAATCTATCAACCCATTAAAAGTCTTGCAAGGAACCGAATTTGTGAGTGATTCATCATCTTTAAAGATTTAAAATTAATTCTACACTAACGAATTGTTACTTTATTTTTTTTTTTTAGTTAATGTTCTTTTGATCTATAAGGGTGGCGATGTTGTATGAAAGGCTGATTAAATCAAATTTCTGGCGTTTATTGTTGTTTTATTTCACCTTGTTTAGAATCTTCTGCTTTTTGTTGGAATAGTGATCAGTTACAGTATGTTTAGATCCGTATCACTTAACTCTGGCTCTATGTTGAATATTTCCCCCTTGATAAAATTTTGATGACTATGTTAAAATAGGGTGTCTGGTCATCAGTGTTACAAAAGTTTGTTGGTGTAAGTACAAATTAAATGAAGTGTGATGATGCTTATAAGAGGTTCCAAGTCTAAAAATTAGCTTACCAAAGAATTATTTTAAGTTTTTCAAAAACAATGTTTTTAAACACAATACAGCAATTTCTCAATCAGCTGTAAATGGATTTGAGTAGATGATGTCATTTTCGTATTCTACATTAAATTTTGAATAAGAATAATAGAAAATGATGGAGAATCAATACTAAAAACTCCATTGTAAATAGTTCAAGAGATAACAATTTATGTCTAAGATAAAAAAAACATAAGTCTATTGTATTTTTCTACACCCTGTAAACAAGAAGGTAGCAAAATATGTTTTAAACTGCGCCATTTTATAAGCTTTCCAACGATATGCTATTGATGTTTAGATCTGCTTATGTTTGTTTTACTGTTTTGAACACTAAAGACATTTTTACTGTTTAAACTGAAACAAATACAAGTTTTGCTGAATACAAGTTGTTCTATATGACAATCTCAAGGAATTGGACTGATCTACATCCAACCACTGTAGTCTTCTTTCTTCTTTAAATAATATAATATTTATTATGTTTTCGTCATAATATAATTCAATGTTTCCTAATACCATGGGGTTTAGCCAAATAATACATACTAGAGGTCATCCAGTGGCCGAAAACTCGACCAAAAATATGTAATGTACAGACTTCCCTATTTTCACCCCACACTGTAAATAAAACATGTGATTGGAATTTCTTCAATTTTTTTATTTTCTGTTTGTATTGCATTGTTATTTTGTCACCAATGAGGCCCATGTTATTTTTTTCCAATTTAAAATTCATTTTTGTGCTTATTTTGAGTCTATTTTAAATTTTAATGATATCCTCCACATCTACAGGAAAATATATTTCTAACAATATCCGTAGATTTTCCCTTCGATGTACACGAGCTGAAAAAAAGTTTTTAAAGAAACATGCTTGCCTATTAACATATAGATAGATAGAAGATATTTGAATCACTTTTGTTTTATATTCAATGGGTATTAGATTTGCGAGTGATTCAATCAAGTTTCGTGATATCACAGACGACTATGATTATCACAGCAATTCGACAATAACAAACTGTCTAAGCTTAATAACAACAAAAACGTTGGGTGTTACAAGATATGTAAAACAATGACATGTGCTACAAATTGTCTCGTGGAAATCGCAGACACGCATCTACCAGGAAGTTAGCTGATTGGTTGGCAACACTGCTTGCAGACCTTGGGAAGGTGGATGTCCTCAGTAGTACCAACTACCAACCTTAAAGCTGTTAATTTATATGCATGGTGTTATATACTAGGTACTTCTTGTGAAATACTCAAAATTACACTTTTAAAGAAAGAGTAGTGTGTAAACAAATATTAATACAATAGAATGCTTGATCGATTTTTACAAATATTTCCATAAAAAGCTAAAGTTTTTATTTCCAGGTCATTAGTACTTAGTTTTGCTGCTACAAGGAAGGAATTTTCTTATAGAACAATAATAGTATAGTATAAAATAAATAAATTTGTCAAATTTGAACAAAATAAATTCATAAACAAGTAAACTAAAACCTCAACAGCCCTATCCTTTTTCCAGAAGAATAACATGGGATTTTGGCATGTACATTATTTTAAAACTTTCTATATTTCTACCTTTATTTAATAATTGTAAAATAGTGCTTCAATGTAAAAAGATTGTAAAACTACGTTTATTCGAACGAGATCTCGAAACAACATGATCAGCCCATAGGAACGGGGTTTTTTGGGGTAAAAACTAGGGTTTTTTTTATTTTTGACAATAAAAAGGATTTCTCTCTAAACCCTACGTGCAAAAGGGTCCTTTACACTAATTAAAACGGATTGTGTTTTTGCCTCTGGTGAATAATTTAGTCCCGGGAGTAAGTCTTACCATGAGACCTACGGTGATAGCTTATTATCTATAAAACTCCGCCAATGTATAAAAAATCAAATAGTTTAACGAAAGACTACTCTTAAACCGAGTCTAGTATAGATATTATTTTTATCCCAAACCTAAGATATTATCTACAGTTTATATGTAAATTATGGAGATGTTTTTTAAATAATTGAACAAGCATACATAAGTACGTTCATTCAACCCCCTACTCATTTTGGAATATAGTATATAAGGTACGTACTTTAACATGTTATTGACTATTCAGCATTCCTTCTTTTTTCGCATACAGTAAATGCATATGGTATAAATGTTGATAAATGTTTTGTTGAGTAGATAATGATCTAGTTTTTGAGTTAGGACTATGATCAAATTTGCGCGTAGCTTCCACTACTGATAATGAAGACACATTTAGTACTGAATACCACGTTCTAACTAATTGCAAATTTTTATGTTTTTGTAATTGCAAAACTTCATGAATGAAAGCTCCTCAATTAAATCTCGCTTAATTTGAGATAATAAACTGTTGTTGGTGTTGGACAAACGCCTTCCAAGGTTGGTCGATTATCCAGCAATCTTATATATCACGTGAATCATAGGACGAAAATAGTAGTTTCTCAGTCATTAGTAGTGTAATTTCTTTGTTATCTCAGGAAAAGGGAAATTAACCCTCTATAAATGCAGTAGCACTTTACCAATTCAACAGTTCATTCGAATTTTAATTTTAGTTGTGTTTAATCTAAAATAAAATGAGCTAGAAAAAAATCAAACCTCTAAAAATGAAGTAGTTTAGCTATTGAATAATTTTAAAACGACAGGAAACTAAAATAATTGTACCTGTACTATATCTTTTAGTTTTCAAAAATATTTATACTATATACAAGACATTTTTAGATATATCAGGTCAAGTTTCTTGAATACACATATTTTCAGCTTAGTATTTAATCATGATTTGATGTAGGCTAGAAGAAAGATTTCATGATGAATTTCGCTAGATTTTAATTATAATTATTATGGGATTCTCTTAACATTTTGGAAGTGTCTAAGCCTAACAGCTGGTGTGGTGTAAAGTTAAAAATATTCTGTCATCTTGGCTCATTTAATTTAAGATTGCACCTTTTTCCATTTTAGTTAATTCTTCTGCTGGACAGATAATTTAACATAACATTTTTATTTTACAAGCTTCAACCTTTCTTTATACAGTTACCTGACAAAGCAGGCTTTCTTGCACTGATTATAGCACGCAAAGTAGCCAATTGCTGATTTTAATTACTTTTGCCGCACTCATTTTTTTCCATACTCCAGTATTTCAACAACAACACAAAACAGAGTGCTTTTATTAGGAACGTAATATGTGTACGCTTGGAAATAAGTTGGCAACACTTAAAGATACTACGACTACGATCAGCTGGTGCAGCGTTTCACAGCCTTTTGAATGTCGATACTACAGCCTGTTATTTCGTATTAACATTCTATCTTCGTTCAACGCTTGGATTAACCTAACCTAAAACGTCTTGCACAGTGTTTGAAATACTTATTTCCATGCTTTATAGTAACTGTAGGGAAAATATAATGTGTAACGCGATCGCAAAGTAACTTTGCTGCACTGGTTACACAGCTATTGTCATCGTAATAATTTATGCTTGTCACGATGGTATACTTTTTTAAAGTTTCCTGAACAAAATAAAGTTCCCCACATCAATGGCCAAAGTTTTACATCTACGTGAGCAACGGCCTTCAAAGCCCACCTTGGTAAAGGCATTAGCCGAATACAATGCTTAATGGTATAATAGCACTGGTAAAGGCTAATGGTAATGGCATGGTAGAGTGAGTCATGGATTACGTTACGCTCACACCAAATGGCTCAGTCTTTATAACATGTCATTAATTAATTCACCTACATTCGACCTTGCCCGGTTGCATCATTAATAACGAAATGCATTAAGATGTGTATATGCACGAAATCCTGTTAGAATTTGAGTAAGGTTTGTTTCTTATGATTCCTTAAAGAGGGTAAATTTTTTTGTTGATTATAAGATATTTTCACTAATTACTCAATAGTATTTTTGTTGAGACTAATGAAAGTCAAAATACTTACTTGGGATGACTGAAGACTAGCAGCCTGCGTCACTTCGTGACTTCAAAATCCGTGATATATTTTAAATGTAGGTTAGACAAGAACAAAAGAAAGAGTTAATTGAATTGATAAGAGGAGAAAAGAATTATATTGTTACACAAAAACAATACGAATAAGGTAAAAGCACAGTTTTAAATCATTTATAAATGAAAAACTTTTTTAAACAAAACGTTTTTAAACGCACTAAGAAGTATAAAATAATTTATAAATATGTGGAGAGTATAAATACTTTTAAGATTTAAAACGAAAAACGTGGGGTGCATGCAATAGATAATTTACAATTACCTTCACCTATTGAACTAATGTATTATTATCAGCTGCATGCACCCCACGTTTTTCGTTTTAAATCTTAAAAGAATTTATACTCTCCACATATTTATAAATTATTTTATACTTTTTAGTGCGTTTAAAAACGTTTTGTTTAAAAAAGTTTTTTATTTATAAATTATTTTCTAATTTTTAGTTTTTAATGTGTGTGGTTGTTAAATCTATTTCAAGCATCTATATCAGATTAACACAGAGGCATGAGGGAAATCTAAGGCTTATTTGAGTTTCTTTTAATATATAATTATGTATTACATTGAATGTATGGCCTACCTACTAACTATAAATATATCAATCTATTTAATTTATTGTTTACTTTATAGAATACTAAATAAATAGCAATTAACATTATTAACAAACACCATTATATATGTAATCAGATTGTTTATCTTTATTTTGAAATGTTTGTTTGTATAAATAATTTCTTGGGAGCATAACCTGTACATCTTAACCTCTGCTCTTCGAACTGTCAAATTTAAGTATTTACAGCTGACTTAAATTAATTGATATATTTACATTCTTTCAAAATGTAAACATGAAAAATTTGGAAGCCCATGGGGCGTAGCACAGGGGAAATATGAAAATAAATTATATAATATTGCATTGTCATCCATTTGTGAGCTATGTTTCAAATTTCAAGTCTCCAGCTCACCAGGAACTTCGTTTAAAATTGATATCAAAATTTTTAGGAAAGCGAGCTAATAAAAACAAGCCTATGGGGCGTAGCCCAAGGGAAATATTAAAATCAAATGATATAATATTGCATTGTCTTCCATTTGTGAGCTATGTTTCAAGTTTCAAGTCTCTAGCTCATCGGGAAGTATCAAAATTTGCAAGAAAGCGAGTTAATAAAAACAAGCCCATGGGGCGTAGCCCAAGGGAAATATGAAAATCAAATCATATAATATTGCATTGTCTTCCATCTGTGAGCTATGTTTCAAGTTTCAAGTCTCTAGCTAATCGGGAAGTTAGTTTAAAATTGATTGCAAAATTTGTACCGGACAAGAAAGCGAGCTAATAAAAACGTTTTAAAAAAGGGAATGTTTACAATTTATAAATTTGTATAATTGTATTGTTATGGCCATGTGGGGATTTTGTAATATGCTCTCTCTCTCTCTCTCTCTCTCTCACAAATGATCAGCTGGCCATCCAAAGAATGCTGAACAAGTGTTATTAATATTCTTAATTTAAAACTTGATACAGTAGCTTTGTGAAGCATTGTTGCCAAAAACAGCTGTTTCTTAGTCAGCTGGTCCTATACTTTTCATGGATTTGTTAACTATGTATTTTAAACTCACTTTAATTTAAAATAATTTGAACTTTACAAATGAAAATAATCCCAAAAGCTGTTATCAATTATCAATTAATTAAGATGGATACACCACCTAGGTGCGTATTTTAACCCAAATATGAGTGAAGGATGAGTAACTATTTTAGTTTTTTACTATTTTAAAAATTGTGTGTCCGTTAAAAAAAAAGAAATGAACGCCACAAGACCAAATCCGTTGCAATACGTCAAAATCTGACGTCTGAAAAGTTCCCAGAAGCAACCGGTCTAACTAGAACTTGAATCCTCTTAACACCTGACCCACGCAATCGCTGATGATTTGACAGCTGATGAATAAAACAAAATGTCCGCCCAATCATCAGGAGGTGGCAATGGATTTGTAATTGCAAAGCGGTTTATGACGTTGCTGGGGGGTATAAGACCAGGACGATCAGCTGTCTGGGCAGTGCAAGAGTTCTCTGTTGCCAAGGTAGGTGTGAATATTTTGGTTCATTTTTCTTTCTAGCTGTGTAAGAATGCTATACGTGATGCCTAGTAATGCCAGTGAGAGCTTATGTCAGGTTTTTTGTTTGAAGTTCGTTTTTGGTAGTTGCGAGTTGGTGATATTTATGTGACTACTGTGCGTATCTTTCATCACGATTTGTAAAACATTTTAGACAATTTTGAAAGAGAGGAAGTCAAGAGGTTTAGGTTATAATGTAACTAATATAGCATAAGAGGGTTAGTACACAAACCCATGTATGGGTAAATAATCACAAAATAAACCCCAAAAAGGGGAAATTTGAGTTTTTTTACTAATCCACAATAGTATCTAAAATATATGATTTTTTTAAAGTTTCATGCTTTGAAAGAGGGGAAATCGAATTTATGTTATAATATTGTAATAGGATACCTATGTACACTGTACTGCACTGACCAATGAAATTCGAGATGTGTTAAGAATATTCAGTTGACATAACCGTTTCATTGTTAGTGAGTTAAGTAGGTCTAATATATCAGAAAATGTGAATTTATTTTGTCTTCGGGAATTGCTTACAAAATACTTTTACTTCTGTTTTACCTCGCAAACAAAACAGAGTTTAGTAATTAAAGAACTGGTTGTATCAGGGTGTGGAAATTATAAGATTAATTGCATAGTGCGTTTTAGATCGTAGGGATCAAAGAAATTATGCGAGGTTATTGGGAGAGTTTGGGAGGAATTTGAGAGGTGTCAATTGTTGTGTTGTCACAAGCTCAAAGGTTACAAATGAAGGCGTATTTTGTACATAATTTCTATAGACAGTTCTAACCCAGGGTGAACCAATTCGAAGGGTAGTTTTAGAGCGCAAAGCTTCGGTTCCCAACGTCTCGGGTTCAAATCTGTTCAACCAACTTAGCTGTCGGATCACTAACCCCCTCACACTAAGCTAAACCAAGGGTATGTTGCTCGGAACTAAGACCCTCATGGCTAACTTCAAGTAATTTGTAAAACTGTTCTGTAATGTGATCTTCCTGTAATGTGGGGGTATGAGATTGTTTTACTTGATAGAGTGTGGAGATTTGGTTCCCGAGATGCCGGGTTCAAATCACACCAATACCAAAAGGCTTCTGCTTGATAATTCCACGACCCTCAGGGTCTAGCCTCAAAATGTGTAAAATAATGTGTTGTGTGCTTCTGGAATGTAAGGGTGGGAAGCAAACAAATTGTAGAGCGTGGTGTTTAGGTACCCAAAGTCCCTGGTTCAAATCCCACCATTCGCCAATAGCTATGTAACAGTATAAATTCCCCGACCCTCTAGACCTCTAGAAATGTGTACAACAGTTCAGCCTAGTGTCCTAGAACATAAAGATAAGATACAAAATAAACATTTCTAACCCAAGAACGTTTTCTCCAGATGCGTTTCGTCCTGTTTCTTGCCGCTGTCCTGGCGGTCACCATCGCCTACCCTGAGGAGAAATACACGACCAAGTACGACAATGTCGATCTGGACGACATCCTCAACAACGAGCGACTGCTGAAGAAGGCGTTCAGTTGCCTGATGGACGAATCAGGCTGCACCCCGGACATCGCTGAGCTCAAGAGTAAGTCTTGCAGTTCACGTTTAAACTGTTATAAAAAAAATGGTCAGCATAACAGAATTGTGGCGTTAACTTAGCCACAGCTGTGATGCCATTGGTCTATACTTTATTTTAATATTTATTATGTAACAGCTGTTGCGATTTCTACAAAACTAGCAACAGCTGTTACATAATAAATATTGAAATAAAGTATAGACCAAAGGCATCACAGCTGTGGCTAAGTTTAATCTGTATGAAATAATTGCACCACTACATGAACTAATATGTTGATAACGTTTCATCACAGATAAAACGAGTATGTTTTATCTATGATAAAACATACTTCTTAGTAGATTTTCCATCCTTATGGAACAGCTGAAGCCAATTTTGTTGTTAGTTCTGTCTGGTGTACTGTAGATGTCGTGTTTTGTTTACACTGTGTTTCTATTATTTTAGGGTTCGTTTCTCATGATGTTTGCCCCACTGTTTGGTTATATAGCTAGTGGACAAGTTGTTGTTTATGATTAGACAGTTTTATTTGGTTATTTACGAGGTTGTAAATTACTGAAATAGCAAGAAACGAATTGTAAACAAAACAAGACTCTACAGTACAACGGACAGAACTAACAGTAAAATTTGCTTTAGCTATTCCATAAGGATGGGAAATATACTAAGGGATTATGTTTTATCTATGGTTTTATTTACAAACAAATGCAGAAGTTTTGTTAAAATGTTTAGTTTTGACTATGTCATGATTTTCTTCATTCGTTTGTAATTATTTCACACAGAATGAATATCGCTATAGAATCTTTGAAAATAGACTCTAGCAATAAATTAAACATGAGGGAAGCTAAGCCCTAAGAGAATTGCCTTTTTAATTACCATTCGTAGATACGCTAAATCTTCAATTGCAACGTCCAGTTAAGTAGAATAGCTGTAAAGGGGATGTTACAGGGAACCCCCTTATTGTATTAAGTAATGGAATTGCAATTTAACAGCTGTTCCAAGCTTGAATGAATTTCCTTCAGCCAAATGTTCAACCATTTCAACCACAAGGTGTGAATAATCGAGGCCAGAATTTGTTCTGGAATAAATAATGGGTTAGCAAGGCATTTCTGTGGTTTATGTTATGGTAAAAGGTATTCAATAAAATCCCTTAGGTTACAATTAAATAATGTTTGTAAATTCTGGTTGGAAGTTGAATGACCGGACAGTTTTAGGTGACCTTAACATTGTGAAATTACGTAACCAGTTGCAACCGTGGCGGTGGAACCAGTTCTTAGAAAGAGAGAGAGAGAGGTTGTACAGTACCTGATAAACAGGACCAGATGCATATCTCAAGGTCTTGGTCACTTAATGTAATGTTTTCGTTTACACTGTTGTGTTACTACCTTATTGCCTAGCTGGACTTGTTCCTGACAACTTCTTGTCTATGGTTCGACGTATTTAATCAATCGTCAAATTTTATAGTCTTCCTTGTGTGTTCATCACTGACAATTCTTTTAAAATAAATTCTCCTTCTCAATACTTCACAAAAATAATATTATCTCAAAGTACGACCGTTAAAGTCAAAAACGATAAAATCCACTTCAATGATGAAATATAATATTTTAAATCTTAATTTTTTGCAGTGGAAAGGTAGGACTGAATTATAAATTAACGGCAGACTTCTGTTAACAAAAAGAATTAATGTGATTTTTAGAACAAGGGCTTAAACTGCAAGGTGGTCTTGAAAGCTATACAAATAAATGGTTAAATTATTCAACTATATTTGCTTTCAAGAAGTTAGACAAGATTCTATAACTTTTATCGATAACACTCTCGAAAATATTTAACATCTCTTTATTGCAGCGTGGCTAAAAATTACTCCATGTTAAATTGTTTCACGATAACAACTCTGATATAATAAGTGATGCAGAGCCAACTGGTCTAGTGGTAGAGTACGGGACTTCGGTCCCTGAGGTCCCGGGTTTAAGTCCCGCCAATCACCAATGGATTTTATCGAAGTTGTGATGCCACAACCTTTGGTCCTATCCTAAAGTAAAGTGAAAAATATCCTGGGACAGAGAGCCTAGCATTCTATGGGAAAAATAATAAGTGAAATCAATTTTGTTTCGACCACGAAAGCTCTTAAAAATGTTTTAAATTTATTTTGATATTATTCCTTCTTACCTTTATAAATTTACGTTTATACTAGTATTACTGTCATGGACCAAGTAGTTTCATGCTATTGCATTGGTAATTTACTCGTTATGTAAATCACATTACAATTTATTACCTTGTTTGTGCCACGCCCGTTAATGTTGTTCAATTAGACAAAATCAAAGCATTTGAATTTAATCTAGTTTATTGTTTTTACGTTAAAAACTTAATGAAATATTAAGATGTCAATTAGTTGACTCCAATTCACCTTTGATTTGTGTTTTGTGTCTGGTTAAGTTTTAGTGAACAGATGTCGACCTTGTGATTGTCCTTGTTTAATTAGTTTTACGGTGTTGCCTTAGGTTATCAGAAGAAAAACACTAGTTTTCAAATATTTCTTGCGTTTGGAAATACAGAATACAGTACATAAAAATGTATTTATTCTTTGGCATTTTGATGGATTTTTAATTGACTCTTGGGAATCATAAATGTTATTTGGGAGTAGATTTTCAATCTATCATTGAAAATAAGAAATCAACTTGTAAAAATATTTGTGTCTATATTATTTTGTTCTAATAGTGTAATAAAACAAACATGTCTTATCCATTCCGTCTTTATCTATTTGTTTCTTGTTAATCATTCTTACAATCACTTTTTTACCACCCACAATTTACCAAAGATTTACCCCACACACTTCAGCATTCTTCGCGAACAGATCTAATTCCACTTCAGCTTGCGATATAGGGCGACACGTTTGGTGCTGTACACAGTGTTTTGGTGTATATACCTTGACGCAGATTTTGCTAAAAGGCCGATAATTCAGTGTATTTTTATTTATTCATTCCTGCATTTCAGAGGCACTTCCCGACGCACTTCAGACTGACTGCGCCAAGTGCTCGGACAAGCAGAAGGCCGGTGCCAAGAAGGTGCTCAAGTTCATCTACGAGAAGAAGCCAGACCACTTCGCCAAGCTGGAGAAGAAGTACGACCCTGAGGGTATCTACCGTAACAAGTACAAGAGTCTGGCGGAGGCTGAGGGTGTCAAGGTGTAAACTGTTGTTGCTTAATGTAAATACTCAATTTCCTCAATAAAGTGTTGTTGTTTGAAATCTTTCTGTCACTTAAATACCCCTTAAAAGTCCTTAAGATACAGTCAATGATGAAATCATGACCTTAAGTGAGAGATGGGTTTGAAAATTAGAATCTCATCCGAATTATTTAGCAATGAACTTGCTGAAAACGCAGATACGATTTATAGACTCAACCCTATCAACAAGGTTAGTTGGGCCAACGTTGGGAATTTTTTGGCGTGGTTGGCAGATGGTGGGTGGGTTGGCCAACAAACTGCCAACATTGGCCCAAGCGCAGTATTTGTGTTGTTCGCCCAACACATTGTAGTTTCGTTGGGCCATTGTCGGGGAATTGTCGTGATATTCCACCCACAATTTTCGTTACTGTTAAAACTTATTACTAATTGTACTTACTTTACTTATTGGGCCAACGTTTTTATTTGTCTATGGTTGGCTCCTAAGCAGCACCCTCCATTGGCCCAACGTTGGGAAATGTTTTTTTGGCCCTACAAAGGAAAGAATCGTTGGGCCTCAAAATTGGGCCTTTGTTGGATTTAAGTATAAAACATTGTGAAACACATTTTAACAATAATTGATTAATTATTTAATAAGAAGTTTAAAAAATAAATGCTACATGTTTTACCATGTTTTACATGGTGCTCCTAGCGGTGGATGCTAGAAATTATGCTAACTACAGCACTACTGTCCATCTTTGTTTAATTATATTTGTCTAGTATTGTTTGGATTATCATAAAATATTTAAACTTGAGAACATAAAGAAGGTTTAACCTCTAATAAATCATTATTTTTACTATGGTTGTATTCCATTTCAATACACCAATCCCACAGTGGGCTCCAGTTTGTTGAAGAATGGGTTGGGATGGATCGTACATGCAGCTCTAGTAACACAACGGTTAGGTAGTTTGTTGGGAAGTATGTAATATTCGTCCTTAGGTAGACCAGCGTTGGCGATCACCTGGAAATACATATTGTTTTTAATCATTTGTCAATTTAGTACTCAAATTTTGTACGCAGAGTTTAAACATACCCCAAACACATTCTTAATTGAATCCCTGGGTAGTATGGCCGTTTGTTCGTGCATTCTCCAGTTTAAAATCACTAGACACAAATTGAATGCCTCCAAATATTCTGATCAAACGAAAGTGATTTACATTTAGATTGTCACCATTCTTTAAACATTTTCTTCCAAGCATATGCATTTATCATTGAATTTATCTGACTATTATTATTCTCGGTGTTAAAAAAATCGAACTGCATATACACAATGTTATCAAGCTTGTTTTAAAAGTTAGCAAAGAATAGAACTACTACTTAATCGTTGATATAAGCATTTAAGTAGTTGTAAGTTCAGCTGTCTGTAAAACGTCTTTGAGAATTTCAATGCCTACCAAATGCATTGCTAAGTATTTTAGAATTAAAATTTAGTATACTTATTAATCATGATCAAGTAGTTCTAAGTAAGACATAAATTAATTCTCGTTTGTTGTGCTTACTATGATTATAAGCGTGTTATAAAATATTTCACCTTACTTTAACAATGCATCACTACATCGGTCTTAGGCCTATTATTCATTTTTCATCGAACTGCCCGGAAAGCAGACGTATTTAGTTCTCTAAACCGTCTGCCAATTCATCGTTTTGGGGTAACTTCAAATAGGAAACCAAAAAAATAATATGGTAATTTTTCAGTTCTCTAACCTCAAAATTGTATCAGTGCATTATGAAAACTCTGCTGATTACACGATGTTTAGAGATATATTTGTAAATAACAGAAATGTAAACATTGATGACGACTTTTACAGATTTGTTCATCACTCGGAGTGAAAGTGTCTTTTTGGCATTTAATCGTATTTTCGCGCAGTTGCGAACCAAAAAGAGCCACTTTCGCACCTAGGGATGGAAACTTATATTTTTACTCTTATGAAGAGATTGAAATGTTTAAGTTTACCTCTTCAACCTTCCGCATGCATGATAATCCCATAGAAGCACAGTTTGTGGTAAGTCCAAATGTATACGGGGGTGTCGTATCTGTACAAACACATAAACATGGTTGAAATATACAAAACACCACGTTAAAAATAATATAAATAATACACAACTGCCCCTTATTATACAAAACCATTATTGAACTATTAAGAAATAAGAACAATCGGGGGGGGGGGGGAGTTCCCTTCCCGACTTCCCTTTTTAGGAAGGTAAATCCTTCCTGCTTTCCCTTTTTAGGAAGGTAAATCCTTCCTGATTACCCTCTTTAGGAAGGTTAATCCATCCAGATTTCCCTTTTTAGGAATCTAAACCTCTCCTGCTTTTCCTTTTTAGGAAGTTATATCCTTCCTGATTTCCCTCTTTAGAAAGGTTAATCCCTCCAGATTTCCCTTTTTAGGAAGGTTAATCCTTCCTGATTTCCCTCTTTAGGAAGGTAAATCCCTCCAGATTTCCCTTTTCAGGAAGGTTAATCCTTCCTGCTTTCCCTTTTTAGGAGGCTAAACCCCTCCTCCTTCCAGATTTTCCTTTTTAGGAAAGAAATCCTTCTTTCTTTCCCTATTTGGGAAGATAAATCCCTCCTGATTTCCCTTCTTAGCGTTGTGAATGAATCCTGCTTTTAATTTGTATAGAGGTGGTATTTATTGGATGTTTTTAATATTACAGCCATTTCAGAAAATGCTATTAATATATCATGTTCGTACAAATGAGGTGTCCATTGATATGTAAAATAGACAAATAGGTGATTTACCTTTTTAGGGAGGAGGGTCATTCCGGTTTCCTTTTTTAGTGAGGTGAATTCTTCCAAGTAGCGTTTAAAAGCCATGGCATGCCACCAGGCAGTTGGGATTTACGTCAAAACAGCTTTGAACTTAAATACTATATTGGTTTAGGAAGAAACTTAAGGTACTTATAAGTAGGTTTAGGTACTTATAAAAACGTCATACCTCCGAATTGGGGACATCTGTACACAACTTGGATGTCACACCCAGCGTATCCTACGATGTAGTCCCGATAAATTACCCTGGGGTCTGAAAATGTAGTCAAAATAGTATTAAATTACTTAAGTAATTAGTATTAATTATTAATACTATCAGTTAATTAATAATTGGAGGTTGAATTACCTTGATTTAATCTAGAGATTACTAGGTGTGCGTTCTCAGGTCTGCCCATGGTGGAAGTAAATATTTACTTCCACCATGGGTCTGCCAATTGAGCGAAGTGAACAAAATAGTTAACAAATAATATTATATTCTAAATAAATTAATTTAAAAATATACTAACAAAAACGTTCAATGATCAATACAATATAACATTGCTAATATAAAAGTATAGGATTATACATTTATGAAAACGAAATATCCTTCAAATATCCCACACTCCACACTGCCAGCCTTTACTACATCCTTCACCACTTCCTTCGTGGACCTGTTTCCCTCCCTTCCCATAGCATTTTAGAATTGTCGCAGATCCTCTTACCTCTGAAATACAGTGGTAGTTTCCAAATAACCTGTAATACTTTACTTTCTCTGAATTATTTGATCAAAGGTTGTCAGCTGAGTGGTTTTTCCTTTGTGCTGTATTTAAATCGTATATTTGCATGTTGTATCAGCTTGACTGCTATACAGTGCATGTTTTTTTACTGCTACTCTCTGTAGTGTATTCCAACTTATGTTGGACGATTGTGTATTGTTACTTGTAATGTGTTAGTAAAGGTTTTCACCTGAGGGCGTGACCAGATTCCAGATCCCAAAACGTTGTGTATGGTTTTTACAATCGTAATGGAAAATGTGCGCAATAAACCTTTGAACAACATTAACTCACCATCACCAACAATGAACTTTCAATTTGAACAACAAAAACCTAACAAGCTTATGCTATGATTCTTTGTTTACATACACGTTGTTATCTCGTAACCATCATGGCAACTCATAAGGCTAATGCTAAAAACATTATGTTGGTTTTAAATTGTAGAGACATTATCAAATTGAAATTTGTTTGTTTGATAACATGAACACTGTTTGTCAAAATAACCATGGAATGTTTGGATTAAATATGTTCAGCCGTTAATGAGTTTAATTGATTACTTAGTTTGCATAAGGTCTGACCGGTCTCTCAGAGCTTCGCTCGCTCCGCTCAATTTGACCTCCTCTAGACGAAAACTAGGTAAATTAACCTCTTATTTATAAAAATTGTTAGTACAACTAGCTGTTACCCACGGGGCTTCACTGTTTTGACATCATAAGTATTAACATAGACAAAATTTTATTTGTCTATGGTATTAATAAAACTATTGATTGGTTAAGTTAAGCTGAAATAAACAAAACATAATACAGTAATACAAACAAATAATCACACCTGATTTTAATAAGGTAATAAATTGAAAGAATAACAATAGTTATTTGTGCAACTAGTGAGAAAAGTGAGCAATTGACTCACTCGAGAGAAATCCTTACTCACGAGCCGTAGGCGAGTGAGGAATGGTTTCTCGAGTGAGGCAATTGTACTTTGAACTCGAGTTGCACATTATACTTTTCCTGCAGTTACCATAAAACAAAAACATTTGTGAAGAAACATGAAGAAACATAACCTATTTTTACACAGAAGTGAACTTTTAATATAACATTTAATGTGAAGTGACAAATACAACAGTACAACAGCTGACCAGCTGATTTACAGCCAGTGCTGCCAACGTATTTCGCGCGCATACGACGTTGCCTGCATGTTACGCGCTCACTATTTCGTGCCTTCACGTTGCAAATCTGGAGTGAGACAAAGTAATTAGAGTGAGACAATGTTAACATTGTCTCACTGGTGAGCGAATTGGCCACTTTGCTTTCTCAAATCAGTGAGAGAACATGTACATTGTTAGGTAACTGTAGGAAAACAAAAAAGTACAGCTGAGGTATTTTTAACATTACGTATATGGAAAGTTACCTTTAGAAAGGAATTACGACCCTAAATGGCAATTTATGAAATAATGCATAGTTTTGCGCAAGGTTTCTTGTCATGACGAACACTTTGAATATATGTTTTATGGGGGCGTGACTTTTAGTTTTCTCAAAAGTTCATGGGTACTTTGGGATTTATATGGATTTGCCAATGAGATTGCATAGCAAAAATATGCTGAGAAGCTACATTACTTTTTAGTAAAACGTTGGCGACAGCTGATCCATTTAGATGGGATGTCTTCTTCTGTATCCAATAGTCAATGGTATAAGCTACAGATTTAAGACTCGTTTGATCAAAATACAGGAAAAATATCTGAGATGTTCACTTTTAAGACCCCGCTAGAAATATTCCGCTAGTAATTCCTTAATGGGGTATAACCATTCTAAACTGAATTGGGAATGATCGTAGAACATTTGATTGTGGTATAAAATTGATGGTTTGACCACTTACTAGCTGTGATGAATGTTCCTTTAGCAGCAGCAGTTGCGATGAAAGATTCCACGTAGTTCGAACCGTCACAGCTAAAACAAGTCATGAAGACATCGAAATGTTAAATAATAAGCTAAACATTATAGAATTAAGCATAAAAGCCCAGTTGGTAACTACGTATTAACTAGGAATTAATATTAACAATAAAATGATTGAAATGTTTAAACCTTGGCAGCATCGAAGAGTAAATATAGCTTGTAACTACAGGGTGGCTCGCAAGTTATCAACCAAAATTCGGAATATGGATCTATGGCTCAAAATAAAAAGGAAATGAAGAATACAATGGAATTATCAAGCATTCGACTCCAAACTCACTTCGTTCACTAGATATCCACGATTTTTTAACATTTGTTCTTTTAATACCTTAATACTTTATTTTGAAATGGCGACCATACGAATGTAGGTATTTGCCAAGTATGAATGGAGATTAGTGTAGGATGAGTGGCGCGATCTAGTAGTCTTGTTAGTGACTAATGTTGACATGTTCCTTAGACGCAGCCCATTCAAGCCAAATTAATAGCCCATACAGTCAATGTCAACTAAGGGAACTACAGTTTAAGTTCGATTCACTCACACACATCAGTTACGGCACGTCACAATTCACAGTTCAGACATATCAGTCACGTCAAAGTCAACCAATATATTCTTTAATGAATTAATGAATTTCTATTGCGTTTTCTACACTCTTCCGGCGCAGGTCCGTCAGTCGCTCTGTTGGCGTCCATCAGTCATTTCAGATTTATTTCTAGCGATATTTTTGGATTGTTCGGACGCGTGATGGACGTGTTTGAGGTTGTAAAATAGCGTTTTTGTTATTCAAATTATTGCATTTATATTTTGAGCACTGTTTGTAGCAATCAACAAGATGGACGATGTAAATTTGATAGAACATAGGGTTTTAATTGAAATCTTTTGACTGTAAATATTAGAGACTGAAGAATGACTGAAACCAAATGACTGGAAGTTGACTGAGGAATTGCGGATGCAACTGTGACTGGACTGTAACGCAACTGGACTGATATGTGTGAATCGACCTTAGTGGAATCCGAACCATATTTTGCCTTGTAATTAACGAATTGGTCTAATCATCAGGATAGCACTGCGGATAGGCGTAGTACTCACTACTGCGGACGTTCACCACACCAGGGAGTATCGCATCCACAGTGCATGCCTATAAATATCCACAATTCGTGACCTCCAAGTAGCTTGATTACAGGACGACGCCACCCGTCCCAGTCCTTTTAATTTTAATTCTTCTAACCGGTGGTTTTAAGTAGAGGAGACCTAAGAATATTTTTAGATGGGTCTATTCTACCCTAAAATAAATTCCCCGGGTTTGATTAAAATAAATTAGCATGGTATGGTCCTTTGAATTATGAACAAAATTGTGTAAATCCCATTTCCGTAAAAGATTGCGATTAAAAAGTTATTGTAACTTATGTGATTTCCCCCTATCATAGTTACTCCCACCGCTTACCCATGATAAAGGTTGTTGACAAGCTTATGGGAGTAAGTGTCAAATTGCTGATACCGTTTACGAGTAAAAATATTTCTTCTACTCACTAGACAAAAGAGTCGTACTCCACAACAGTATCAGGATCGTCCGGCAGAGGAAAAAACGTTATACAAACATTGTCCAATAAAACGTTGTTTTCGTCCTTTGGTGCAAAGCTGAAGAAGTACGGTTGACTGCACAGAAACTGCAATCAAAATCATAACCAATTGTGTCTCTTAATATTGGCAAAGTATATTTTCAGTTTAAAAAATGTGTTTGGAAATTTTTATAAGGTTACACTGTTTGAGAATGAAATTTCACAAACACAAACACGTTTGGTATATTTCGGTTTTATAACTGTCCGAAATATCTTTGTAATTTGATTGGTGGACTTCAAGTGGTTCGCTTGCAAAATAGTCATCTACCTACTTGTGAATTAGCATTGGATTGAAAGAACTAAATGCATGGTAAACACTCATGCATGCGAATGTCAGTGAAATTGTAAATAATAATTTGGGAACATGTTTCCGAAAGTTGAAGAAATATAAAGTACATTCCAAGAATCATTACAGTTATTCTTTCTGCGTAGGTTACCACGGCTTGAAGATTTGTTTTCTTTGACTTTAATTCACTAACTTTTCGGTCTTATGGACTGTCATCGAGAGACTCCAGTCCAGTCCATGTTGACTGCGGCGTCTTGCGCCGCTTTTCCTCAAGTTTATACATTCTGTCGTTTGCAGGTCTACGCCCTTGTAGCTCGTCAACGTCCCGTCGTGTGTGTTCTTTAGTCGATGACTTGACTTCTGCACAGTTAACAAACCAAGTGGAAACTAAAGCCAAAATTTCGGTTAATAAAAGCGTTTTGTCTTTTTTGACACCGTTGTCGTCTAAAAATTACGAATCTATGGTTGAAACTAATTTACTATTCTAAAAGGGTTGAACAACCAATAGCTGCATCTAGTTTGTTCTTACCTCTTGTACGGTGATGTCGGTTGTTGCAGGTTTCAAGCATTCCTGCCCTCGGCTGTGTTGTGATAACAAACCCAACAGTAAAATGTAAATAGTGACGGAATTCCTGCAAAATAACAATTACCTGTAACTCGAAATCGAGCAATTAATTGCCAAGTATTACAGGAGTTATTTTAAACCTCTCAATTATAATTTTCTATGGGTTTATTAGACCTTAGACTTACCTCGAAGATTATGCATCTGATGGAAATACAGGGTGTCCACAAAGTCTTGGCCTGATAAGGAAACCGTATACTGTAGTATGAAAACGAGTGATAGTAGTATAAAGATCTATTTACAGAAATAACCGGCAACTTCATAAGGTTTATAGCTAAGTACAAACGTAATACACCCCTACGTGTGCACCTTTAGTGGCCTTCAGATCTTTTAGACGACATTTTAGTTCGTCCCAGGTTTTAGCCTTTTTTTTTGCCAGCATATCCTGGGTTACAGACGCCTTAGCATTTCTAATTCTCTCCCTCAGTGTTTGTAAATTAGGAACTGGTGAAGAATAGATAATTGATCATAAAGACACTTTGTTAATATTCGCTTAATCTTAAAAACTAAGGTGTCAATCGATTTTAATTAAGTTGTTATTCTCGAAAATTGTTTGTATAATCAACGGTATTTGAGTTATTTAAGAAACAACTTTTTTAAATGGCCACCCTTTTATGAATTTAAAAAATTGTCATAATTTTGTTGAGTATTTTTTTGTCTAGTTCTCAAAACTTTTTGTGCAAATTTTTAATTTCGTATCTCTTACCACTTTAAAGAAAACAATTAATAAGTGAAAAAATGGCGGCTGTGTGAGTAATTAAGGACTTCCGGACAATTTAAATATGATATTTGGATTTATGTTTCTTACCCAGGAATATACCCTTAAATATCCGACACGAATTCCGAAACACCCTGTATTATAGCCTTTTTGTATTAACGTTGATTTTGATAGTTAGCTGGTTAATCAGCTGATTAAAATTGTTTGTTTGAATTAATTATAAATTCGATAGAGTGTAGGATTATAGAAACAAAAGGTTTAACACTTACATGGCTGCATCCTAGAAAGAATAGAATAGAATGGCTGCTTTAATGTTACACTGCCGTCCGTACTGTTTTTCTTATCACTTCGTCTTCGTTTGTATTTAATTTGCACAACCTAACGTGTACTATAACTAGGTGTACAATGAAGTTGTCTGCTTTCAATATTGAGCGCAACTGCAGGTCCCTTAGTTGCCATCACTGAGCTATAGTAATAACTGGAGTAACCACTCGGTGTTTTAAAAACGTACCACTGTTTTTGCTGGGTTTGTTTCAGAGTTTCGTTTCGTTAGGTTGGCCGGGTGATCGGGTTGGTGGGACTTGTCAAATTAGAGGCAAAATCAAGATGGCGTCATCCTGTTTTGTTGATGATAGTAAACAAAAATCTGCCAACTCAACATTATGATTGCAATATAAGTTTATTGATTTATTTTACGAGCAAGAGCAACCCATTTTAACAAGATCATAAACCGATGGTCGTTATTTAATCAAATGCCATAGGGCTATTGGCCTAAACCAATATCTCCAAACCAGGAAACTTGACTCTGAGCCTATTTTCACCACATAGCTTGAAAAGAGGTAAATAAGTTAGTATTTATTTACTATCAAACAAAAACAAAGTATAATGTTTCAAAATAACTTTAAATACAGAGGTTTTAACGTGCAATAACTTAAATAAGTTTTTGATACAAGTCCTTGAAATAACGGATAACATAACCCCAAATAAATAGTATGGTTAGGTTAGAATGAATTGGAATTATTTGACAGCATCCCACCAACCGATCACACGGCCAACCTAACAACACGAAACACCAAAAACAAACCAGGCAAAACAGTGGCACGTTTTTCTCTAACGTTTAACCAGAGAGTAGTGACTCCAGTTATAATCTATATTTCAATGGTTGTACAGTGTTTTAAAGATTTATTTCTATACTGAATAGTAACTGTAGGGAAAATATAATGTGTAACGCGAGCGCAAAGTAACTTTGCTGCACTGGTTACACAAATAACTATTGTTATCGTGATGATTGATGCTTGTCACGATGGTATACTTTTTTCCTGAACAAAATAAAGTTCCCCACATCAACGGCCAAAGTTTTACATCTACGTGAACCACGGCCTTCAAAGCCCACCTTGGTAAATACCCCCACCACAACAAACCTGCATAGGTGAATTGTCATCCCTAGTTTGGATGTTGACTAAAATAATCACTTACTCCTTGTACTTCCACAAAATGTTTTTATCTATAAAAATTAGCATAAGAATTTTAAACAATTGTTTTTCTCTGTAATCTTTAATCGTACAACAACGCTTCGACCTACTAAATTCTAAAGAGTTTGTGCTGCAAACGTTTCACCACGGATAATCATATTAAAGGTGCCAATAATAATTGTCTCTATAGCTATAAGTAGAAGTCGTAATACCCTCCTGACTGTAACTATATTACACACCAGTCTGTGCAAATTAAATACAAACGATGAAGTGATAAGAACAGTACGCAGTAGTGTAACACTGAAACGGCACAATATTGTTTCTTGTTAGAGCCATGTAAGTGTTTAACCATTTGTTTCTAGAATCCTATACTCTTATACGAGCTATGTTTGTTTGTGGGTTTTTAGCATTTATCGCAAAATACAGAAGAAGGATTTTGCTGAAATTAAATAAAGAGTTTTTGAGTCTAAAAATATCGACAGAAACGGTTAACTATTCAACTTGTTTGTAAATTAAAATACACCCACCACAGAAAACCAGCAAACTAAGGGAATTCCCATTTACCTGGTTGGATTTCTACTAAAATATTCCCTAAAAATTGTCCGATTTATTTCCTATTTAATTAAAATTTATTTTATTAAGTACTTAGGATTGTTGCTACAGGGAAGATATTTATATTAGTGTTTTTATTGCAATGTCAATAGGCCCGTTATTTATGGTTTTATATAGTATACAGTACATTGCAGAATTGACTGGCAAATAAGTAATCCAAATGGTAACATTATGCACTGGCTTAGTGATAAATCACGATCAGATGTATTGAAGTAAACAAAAATCTGCTGTAAATGCTATTCTTATGGAGAACATTTTACGTTATAATCTAATTTTGTGTTAAAATTGTGGGAATCACTATTTTTCCCTCCGTCACGGGAGAGAGGCCTTCAATTTGAGCCTCCTCCTGTAGTTCTACGAGGTTCTTTTCCCAGTCGCCTACAGTTTTGACGCAAAGAATCGCTTTACGTAAATATATAGATGCAAAGATAGGCTAAAAAGACATTTCCATTACCTGTACATGTACAACCTTCAAGTCTAATAAACTAAAAAAAATAAATAAAAACAGTCACTGAGAGTGGTTTGTTTTAATAACTCCTGTAATACTTGGCAATTAATTGCTCGATTTCGATTAACACTAGAGTTAATTGTTATTTTGCAGGTATTCCATCACTGTTTGCAGTTTATTGTTGGTGCTATCACAACACAGCCGAGGCCAGGAATGCTTGAAACCTGCAACAACAGACATCACTGTTCAAGATGTAAGAATAAAAACACAATTAAAATTTGTTTAACCGACCATTTGGCCTTGGATTCTACTTGATTTGTCAACAGTGCAGAAGTCAAATCCCTCTAAATATGGCACTCTAGGCCCTATATACCAAGAAGTTATTGAATAAAAGCACTTAATCAATTTTAACATCGTTGTCACCCGAAGACACGAATCAGTGTCCGTGGGGACCTAGATAGGAAGAGTTGATAATGTTTCTTGACATGTACTTCATATTCCTTTATCGTTCGGAAACATGTTCCGAAATATCTATATATTTAATACACAGTTGTAACACTGTTTTCTCAGTAATTACTGGACCGATCTACAAGATTTATGTCTCAAATTAAAGGGGATAGTGTGTAGATTTACCGAACTTCATTGGAATTTACGTTTTTTCTAAGGGCTACGACCTGCAGCCCTTTAAAGGTCGAGTCAATACAATTCTTATTGAAGAATATAATACACAGTTTATAAATTAGTACCTGGGGACCGAGCTTTGCTCGGGGAAAATCATTAGTTTACTCTGAAAGCAGAATTGCAGATACATGAATCCATTCCCCACACTCCGCACTGCTAGCCTTTACTAATTCTTTCACAATTTCCTGTGTTGTGGACATTTTTCCATCCCTTCTCATAGAATTTCAGTATTGCAGATACATTATTCTAACTGCTACAAACTGTTTCCAGTTCCCACATTTCAAACTGCTCGCCTTTCCTACTTCCTTCACCCCTTCCTAAGTCGCGGACCTGTTTCCCTCTCAACCCATAGCATTTTAGGATTGCAGATACCTTAATATAATCGTCATAAACCGTTCCCACACTCCGTAAAGCTCACCTTGACTACTTCCTTCACCACTTCCTACGTCTCGGACCTAGTTTTCCTCCCTTCCCATAGCACTTTAGGATTGCAGATACCTTAATCTAATTGTCATAAACAGTTCCCACACTCCGGACTGAATTTTATGATTGTAGACACCTTAATCTAATAGTCATTAACAGTTCCCACACTCCAGAGTGCTCATCCTTTCTACTTCCTTCACCACTTCCTACGTCGCGGACCTGTTTCCCCCCTTCCCATAACACTTTCAGATTGCAGATACCTTAATCTAATCGTCATAAACAGTTCCCACACTCCGGAGTGCTCGCCTTTACTACTTCCTTCACCACTTCCTACGTCGCAGACCTGTTTCCCTCCCTTCCCATAAAATTTTTGTATTGCAGATACCTTAATCTAATCGTCATAAACAGTTTCCACACTCCGGAGTGCTTGCCTTTACTACTTCCTTCACTACTTAATACGTCGCGGACCTGTTTCCCTCCCTTCCCATAACATTTTTGGACTGCAGATACCTTAATCTAATCGTCATAAACAGTTCCCACACTCCGGACTGCTCGCCTTTACTACTTCCTACGTCGCGGACCTGTTTCCCTCCCTTCCCATAACATTTTTGTATTGTAGATACCTCAATCTAATCGTCATAAACAGTTTCCACACTCCGGAGTGCTCACCTTTACTACTTCCTTCACTACTTCCTACGTCGCGGACCTGTTTCCCTCCCTTCCCATAACATTTTTGTATTGCAGATACCTTAATCTAATTGTCATAAACAGTTCCCACACTCCGGACTGCTCGCCTTTACTACTTCCTTCACTACTTCCTACGTCGCAGACCTGTTTCCCTCCCTTCCTATGACATTTTTGGATTGTAGATACATTAATATAATTGTCATAAACAGTTCCCACACTCTGGACTGCACGCCCTTACTACTTCCTTTGGCACTTCCTACGTCGCGGACCTGTTTCCCCCCCTTCCCATAGCATTTTAGGATTGCATATATCTTAATCTAATCGTCATAAACAGTTCCCACACTCCGGACTGCTCGCCTTTACTACTTCCTTCATCACTTCCTACGTCACGGACCTGTTTCCTTCATTTCCCAAAACATTTAAGGATTGCAGACACCCTAATCTAATCGTCATTAACAGATCCCATACTCCACACTTCTACCCTTGACTATGTACAATGTATCGAGTAATCTTCAGTATAATCTTTGTTCAATAGTAACAACTGATCTTTTTCCTTTTGTACTGTATTTTTAATTTGCTAGTATACTGTCGACAGACAACTTGCAAGTCCTTTGTTTACTTTTTCCTTGTTATTTAGTTCAACCAACATGGTTACTTAGCAACCCATAAGACTAATGTTAAAAAATGTGATTTTAAGTTTCATTTTTCTACGTAATTAGATTTATGTTGACAGTTGTAACTGCAGTAAACTCGTTTTTAGGCCAGGAATAAACTATATACAACATTTGAAGAAAATCGTCGGAGCCGTTTTCGATATCTTGGTGCAAGCAAGCAAGCAAGCATACATGCATACATACATACATACAAGCAAACATTGCTCGTATTAGAGTATAGGATTCGTCAGCTGTTTAATGTTTGTCAGACATTTGTTATTATTTTTATAACCTCACTTTCAGTATGCAATTATTAAACTTGGAGTTTCTGTTTATAAACACACGATTTTAATCAAGGAAAGTGTATTTGTTAACTTATTTTTCAAATGTTTTAGTTTTCCTGCAAAGTGATCTGAAGGAAAGTGGTAATTGAGTTTAAGTTTGCTGGAATGTGAAATAATATCTATAGTAGGGAACGGAAACTTATTGTTTTGATCAATATAATTTATTCTCTACGGCCACCAGAATAATCATGGGGAAATCAGCTTGCAAGTTGTACATATAATTGCTAATGAGTGGGAAACATACAAACATTTTATAGTAGGTGACGAATCTTTCTTAAGATCAGTGTTAGACGTTCAGTGGTACCAAACTTTGCCTTCTCGAGATGGTGAGTACGCTGGGATACGTGGAACTACAATATATCAGTGAATTTGTTTTCAAGTACACAGGGAAGTTGCTTGAAAAACTGTGACCTACCATTCGGTTCTGGCGAAGAAGTATGTGACTTGATGTTTAATGGCAATGTTGACTTGGGTCATTATAGCGGTTATAAAACTTTATAATTAACCCCAGGGTGTGAAAAGTACAAAAAGAAAAAGAAAAGGTAATCATTAACCGGGCGTAAAGAGACAAACCGAACGAAAAAAAAATTTAGAGAACCATCGAACTAAAAAGGTAAAGAGCAGTGTTGGTGTTAAATGTGCTCTGGAAGTCCCTACAAAAAAATACCAACTCTTTTGAATTGGGGTCGTTAGATTGGATTTGTCACTACTTCAAATCTATGAATTTCGAGTCAGAACAGACTGACTAGGACACAAAAATGTTTTAGTTTTCCTGCAAAGTGATCTGAAGGAAAGTGGTAATTGAGTTTAAGTTTGAGTATGGAATGTGAAATAATACCCATAGTAGGGGACGGAAACTTATTGTTTTGATCAATATAATTTATTCTCTATAGCCATCAGAACAATCATAGGGAAATCCGCTTACAAGTTGTACAGATAATTGCTAATGATTGGTAAACATACAAACATTTTATCGTAAGTGATTAATCTTACTCAAGATCAGTGTTCGACGTCCAAATTTTACCTTCTCGAGATGGCGAGTACGCTGGGATATTTGGAACTACAGTACAATTTATCAGTGAACTATACCCTAACTATATTTGTTCGAGTAGGCCTACACCAAGATGCATATACATCTTGGGCCTACACAAGGAAGTTGCTTGAGAAACTGTGACTTACGATTTCGGTTCTGGCGAAGAAGTATCTGACTTGATGCTTAAGGGCAATGTTGACTCGGGTCATTATAGCGTTATAAAACTTGATCATTAACCCCATGATGTGAAAAGTACAAAAAGAAAAAGAAAAGGTAATCATTAACCGGGCGTAAAGAGACATACAGAACGAAAAAACATGTAGAGAACAATCGAACTAAAAAGGTAAAGAGCAGTGATGGTGTTAAATGTGCTCTGGAAGTCCCTACAAAAAAATACCAACTCTTTTGAATTGGGGTCGTTAGATTGGATTTGTCAGTACTGCACATCTATGAATTTTGAGTCAGAACAGACTAACTGGGACACAAATATTTTTTCCTTATGTTGTCACAAGGGGAAGGTAAAATGAACTCCTTATCAACATTTTGAGTTTATGGAAAATCTTATCAACAATGACTATAAAGAAAGTATTAAGGGTCAAAAGAGACAAAAAACTATTTGAGTAAAATATAATACAAATCTGCATTTGAAATGGCCAGTTCTAAGTCTCACTTGAATCAACATCTTTCTGGTAGTGGTAGTCTACATAGTTTTAAAATCCACGACTCCTTTTCCATCAAATTGGACCGTTAATACCCTCTAACATTGAATAAAGTATGCCCAACTTTATATATACGTCGTAAACACAGCTTTTACTCACAGTATGGGTCAAAGATTCGTGAAATGTGACCAACTGCTGATGCGTGATTTACATGTAGGCTAAGTGACTATCTTTATTCTATACAACAAATGTAATGAAAAAAAAAACACGACGAATATAGGAATATACTTGAGCAAATTATCTAAATATCATAAATAGCTGCTTATTAGGTTATCAGCATTGCCCAGTTCGTATACTATTTATTTTTCAAATGAATATATAAAACTCGAATTAATATAAAACATTATTTTGGTTAAAATAATATATCGGTTTGATTAACATAAAATAGTTTATACAGGCAAACTATCAGTTCTATTTCATGTAAAAAATTAAACAACCCCTAAATAAAATACAAAGATAAACAGTATTTGTTAATTATTATTTCTTTTATTGCTGACAATATTCCCGTGGTGGAGCACGGGCGGTTAACTAGTAATTTTTAATTGAGCGGAGCGAGCGAAGCGAGCGAAGCTCTTATACGTCGACTTTTATGCATTTCGTAATACGCAAACTCCTCCTAGACGGCTGAATCAATCGTTTTCAAATTTTGCATGGTGATAAAGACCATATCGGTGAGTGCCAACATCTATATGGCGTTAAAAAAGTCTCTCAGGAATCCGTAGAAAAATGAAACTGAAAATCACATTTTCTTAACATTAGTCTTATGGGTTGCTAGGTAACCATGTTGGCTGAATTAAATAACAAGTAAAAAGTAAACAAAAGATTTGAAGTTTTAGCATGTGTTCATAATAAGCCAACTACCCACAGTATACTAGGAAATTACAAATACAGTACAAAAGGAAAAACATCACTTGTTAATATTGAGCAAAGATTATACTTAAGATTACTCGATACATTGTAGTCAAGGGTAGCAGTGCGAATTCTAGGATCTGTTTTGTTACGAATACATTAAGGTATCTGCAATCCTAAAATGCTATGGGAAGGGAAGGAAACAGGTCCGTGACGTAGAAAGTAGTGAAGGAAGTAGTAAAGGCAATCATAAAATGCTATGGGAATAGAGGGAAACAGGTCCGTGACGTAGGAAGTGATATGAAGGAAGTAGTAAATGCGAGCAGTCCGGAGTGTGGGGACTGTTTATGACGATAAGATTAGGGTATCTGCAATCCTAAAATGCTATGGGAAGGGAGGAAAACAGGTCCGCGACGTAGGAAGTGGTGAAGGAAGTAGTCAAGGCGAGTAGTCCGGAGTGCGGGAACTGTTTATGACGATTAGATTAAGGTATCTGCAATCTTTAAGTGCAATGGGAAGGGAGGGAAACAGGTCCGCGACGTAGGAAGTGGTGAAGGAAGTAGTCAAGGCGAGCTGTCCGGAGTGTTGGAACTATTATGACGATTAGATAAGGGTATGGGCAATCCTAAAATGCTATGGGAAGGGAGGGAAACAGGTCCGTGACGTAAGAAGTGGTGAAGGAAGTAGTCAAGGCGAGCTGTCTGGAGCGTGGGAACTGTTTATGATGATTAGATTAAGGTATTTGCAATCCTAAAATGCTATGGAAAGGGAGGAAAATAGGTCCGCGACGTAGGATGTGGTGAAGGAAGTAGTCTAGGCGAGTTGTCCGGAGTGTTGGAAATGTTTATGACAATTAGATTAAGGTATCAGCAAACCTAAAATGCTACGGGAAGGGAGGAAAACAGGTCCGCGACGTAGGAAGTGATGAAGGAAGTAGTCAAGGTGAGCTGTCCGGAGTGTGGGAACTGTATATGACGATTAGATTAAGGTATTTGCAATTCTAAAATGCTATGGAAAGGGAGGAAAATAGGTCCGCGACGTAGGAAGTGGTGAAGGAAGTAGTCTAGGCGAGTTGTCCGGAGTGTTGGAAATGTTTATGACAATTAGATTATGGTATCAGCAAACCTAAAATGCTACGGGAAGGGAGGAAAACAGGTCCGCAACGTAGGAAGTGATGAAGGAAGTAGTCAAGGTGAGCTGTCCGGAGTGTGGGAACTGTTTATGACGATTAGATAAAGGTATTTGCAATCCTAAAATGCTATGGGAAGGGAGGGAAACAGGTCCGCGACGTAGGACGTGGTGAAGGAAGTAGTCAAGGCGAGTAGTCCGGAGTGTGGGAACTGTTTATGACGATTAGATTAAGGTATCTGCAATCTTTAAATGCAATGGAATGGAGGGAAACAGGTCCATGACGTAGGAAATTGTGTAGGATGTAGATGTGTGGATTTATGTATCTCCAATACTACGGTGCTTTCAGAGTGAACTAATGATTTTCCCCGAGCAAAGCTCGGTCCCCAGGTACTATAATCAAATGACGACACTAGCTTGAGGTTCGTGACGTATGAAGAGGTTAAGGAAGTAGTAAAGGTGAACAGTCTGGAGTGTGGAAACTGTTTATGACGATTAGATTAGGGTATCTGCAATCCTAAAATGCTATGGGAAGGGAGGAAAACAGGTCCGCGACGTAGGAAGTGGTGAAGGAAGTAGTCAAGGCGAGTAGTCCGGAGTGCGGGAACTGTTTATGACGATTAGATTAAGGTATCTGCAATCTTTAAGTGCAATGGGAAGGGAGGAAAACAGGTCCGCGACGTAGGAAGTGATGAAGGAAGTAGTCAAGGTGAGCTGTCCGGAGTGTGGGAACTGTTTATGACGATTAGATTAAGGTATTTGCAATTCTAAAATGCTATGGAAAGGGAGGAAAATAGGTCCGCGACGTAGGAAGTGGTGAAGGAAGTAGTCTAGGCGAGTTGTCCGGAGTGTTGGAAATGTTTATGACGATTAGATTATGGTATCAGCAAACCTAAAATGCTACGGGAAGGGAGGAAAACAGGTCCGCAACGTAGGAAGTGATGAAGGAAGTAGTCAAGGTGAGCTGTCCGGAGTGTGGGAACTGTTTATGACGATTAGATAAAGGTATTTGCAATCCTAAAATGCTATGGGAAGGGAGGGAAACAGGTCCGCGACGTAGGAAGTGGTGAAGGAAGTAGTCAAGGCGAGTAGTCCGGAGTGTGGGAACTGTTTATGACGATTAGATTAAGGTATCTGCAATCTTTAAATGCAATGGAATGGAGGGAAACAGGTCCATGACGTAGGAAATTGTGTAGGGTGTAGATGTGTGGATTTATGTATCTCCAATACTACGGTGCTTTCAGAGTGAACTAATGATTTTCCCCGAGCAAAGCTCGGTCCCCAGGTACTATAATCAAATGACGACACTAGCTTGAGGTTCGTGACGTATGAAGAGGTTAAGGAAGTAGTAAAGGTGAACAGTCTGGAGTGTGGAAACTGTTTATGACGATTAGATTAGGGTATCTGCAATCCTAAAATGCTATGGGAAGGGAGGAAAACAGGTCCGCGACGTAGGAAGTGGTGAAGGAAGTAGTCAAGGCGAGTAGTCCGGAGTGCGGGAACTGTTTATGACGATTAGATTAAGGTATCTGCAATCTTTAAGTGCAATGGGAAGGGAGGGAAACAGGTCCGCGACGTAGGATGTGGTGAAGGAAGTAGTCAAGGCGAGCTGTCCGGAGTGTTGGAACTATTATGACGATTAGATAAGGGTATGGGCAATCAAAAATGCTATGGGAAAGGGAGGGAAACAGGTCCGTGACGTAGGAAGTGGTGAAGGAAGTAGTCATTCGAGCTGTCCGGAGTGTGGGAACTGTTTATGACGATAAGATAAGGGTATCTGCAATCCTAAAATGCTATGGGAAGGGAGGAAAACAGGTCCGCGATGTGGGAAGTGGCGAAGGAAGTAGTAAAGGCGAGCTGTTCGGAGTGTGGGATCTGTTTATGACGATTAGATTCAGGTATCTGCAATCTTAAAATGCTATGGGAAGAGAGGGAAACAGATCCGCGACGTAGGAACAGGTGAAAGAAGTAGTGGTGAGCAGTGTAGAGTGTGGGAACTGGAAACCGTTTGTAGCAGTTTTAATGTATCTGCAATGCTGAAATGCTATGAGAAGGGATGGAAGCATGCCCAAGACATAGGAAATTGTGAAAGAAGTAGTAAAGTCTAGCAGTACGGACAGTGGGGATGTTTGTTGCAATTAGATTAACGTATCTAAAATACTAAAATGCTATGGAAAGCGATGAATACAGGTCCACGACGTAAGTGGTGAAGGAAGTAGTAAAGGCTGGCAGTGCAGAGTGGGGGAACCGTTTGAGCAGATGGATAAGTGAATTTGTAATACTTAAATGCTATGAGAAAGGAAGGAAACAGGCCAATGACGTAGTAAATGGTGAAGGAAGTAGTAAGGCTAACAGCGCAGAGTGTGGGAACTGTCTTTGGCAATTACATTAATGTATCTGCAATCCTAAAATGCTATGGGAAGAGAGGGAAACAGGTCCACGACGTAGGGTGTGGTGAAGGAAGTAGTAAATGTGAGCAGTGTTGAGTTTGGGAATGGATTAATGTATCTGCAATGCTAAAATGCTACGGGAAGAGGCTGTAGACTGTAATATATTAAAAATGATTACGAAGCACAAATCGATACATATTTTCGATACATGCAATCGTTTACAATCGAAATTTACAACTGAGTTGACAACAGCTGATTTTTATTCCATAGAGGCTAAAAACGATTTTTACTCCCTAAATATTAAAAATGCTACTTTAGACCTGCAGCGCATGCATGAAAAAATACTGTTTTTACTGCAGTAAGACAAAAACAATATAATATGAACCCTTGATGACTCCGCTCAATTTTGTGGATGCCTCTGCGAACGCCACCTAGTTTTACTGACATTCACATGCTTGATTATTTACAAACAGGCTCTTAACAATCCAATGGTATAATTCACCGGTAGGTAAATGGCTAAGCAAATTACTTAAGTTCCACCAATCAATTTACTACAAAAACTACGACATATCAACACTTAAAAGAACAGTAAAAAAATTCTCTATCTTTTAAACCTTTTCATCCAGTGGATGCGAATGAAAATTTACAAACACATAAAGGTATATGGAAATTTCTTAAGGTCATAACCTTAAGAAATTTCCATAACTTTATCTAGCCTATACTCGAAATTTTAAAAATACCTCTCCAATTTTAAGACACTTTGTTTTGATTTTGATTGCAGTTTCTGTGCAGTCAACCGTACTTCTTCAGTTTTCTGCCGAAGGACGAAAACAACATTTTATTGGACAATGTTTGTTTAACTTTTATTCCTCTGCCTGAAGATCCTAATACAGTTGTGGAGTATTCCTCTTTTGTCTAGTGAGTAGAAGAGATGTTTTACTGGTAATTACGTATTATACCGACCACATTTAAACCCAACCTAACGGTAGTAAGGTTAGGGTTAAGTTAGATTAGGTTAGGAAAATTTGCAATTTTAACTAATTATTTGAAATTCAACTCAAAGAGTAACAGATGTTTTAATTAAATTTATTGTGATTTACCAATACTGCTATATATTTATCCGCTGTTTAGGTCTGTCTTTGAACTGTTTCAACCAATCTTTATAAAGCTTGGGATGTTTTAGAGAAAATAGATCTATTGTAGAAAAAAAATATTATTTATGTTTTTATATTGACAAGCATAGCATTATTTTTTCATTTCCAGCTAAAAAATAACGACATTTCAACTATTTGCTACTCGATCTTTTTGTTGTTTGGAAGTAAGTTTTATACGCAAAGCAAGTGTGTTTTATATTTTTCTTGTCCACGCCGTTGTCATTTTTAGATAAGAAAGAGTATTAGTTAAAACACTTTTGGTAAAGCGGCCCAAGCTCATATGATTGGTAGATGTGCCGGGAATTGAACCCGTCCCTCCCAGGCTACATGTTTAAATTATTCTTGACATTTCTTTATGAAAAAAGCCATTTTTATTAAATTTAATTATAGTAATAAAGAGAGCTGCCATTATGAGATCTTCAAATGGACCAAGTTATATATTTTCAACAAATAATGTCTCCTCTACCTAATTGTACAGTATATGTACCATCGGTTAGAACGATTAAAATACACAAATGCTTATGAAAAAAGTACAAATAGCGGGTATCTAGTTAACCAAGTGATTATGGATAAAATTTTATTCATGATTTCCTCTTTATTTTGACCCATAGAGTCATTTCCAGGAGTGTGGTTGTTACTTGTAGGCCACCCTGTGTTTAGATACTATGAATACTTTTTGATGCTCACCTTACTAGAATATCAATTTCTTTAATAATTACAGTAATTCCTAGTCAATATAGTAATTACCAACTGGGCTCATAAGTCAATTAAAGTAATTCCTAGTCGATATAGTAATTACCAACTGGGCTCATAAGTCTATTAAAGTAATTCCTAGTCAATATGGTAATTACCAACTGGGCTCATATGTCAATTAAAGTAATTCCTAGTCAATATGGTAATTACCAACTGGGCTCATATGTCAATTAAAGTAATTCCTAGTCAATATGGTAATTACCAACTGGGCTCATATGTCAATTAAAGTAATTCCTAGTCAACATAGTAATTACCAACTGGGCTCATAAGTCAATTAAAGTAATTCCTAGTCAATATGGTAATTACCAACTGGGCTCATAAGTCAATTAAAGTAATTCCTAGTCAATATAGTAATTACCAACTGGGCTCATAAGTCAATTAAAGTAATTCCTAGTCAATATGGTAATTACCAACTGGGCTCATAAGTCAATTAAAGTAATTCCTAGTCAATATGGTAATTACCAACTGGGCTCATATGCCAATTAAAGTAATTCCTAGTCAACATAGTAATTACCAACTGGGCTCATATGTCAATTAAAGTAATTCCTAGTCAATATAGTAATTACCAACTGGGCTCATATATCAATTAAAGTAATTCCTAGTCAATTTAGTAATTACCAACTGGGCTCATAAGTTTAAATTCCACAAACTAACTAACTTACTTGTAATTTGACGTTACATCTACCCATGTTTCAGCTGTGATGGATCAAACTACGTGGAGTCTTTCATAACAACTGCTGGTGCTAAAGGAACCTTCGTAGCGGGTAGTAAGTGATATTACCATCAATTGTATAACACAATCAAATGATTTCCCTTATTTTCCCCATCTATAAGTATAAAAGAGGATGTTTGTATATATATTTGGCAGTGGTAAACTCAGACACCGCTGAGTTATAGGTTAGGATGTTGGACTATTATCATAACTGTTTATTTTTTAGAATTTTAAATAGAAAGAACGAAAAAAATACAAAATGTGCACATAAATTTGATGTGCTCATTTTGTATTTTTTTGTTCTCCACTTTATGTATTAATATTGTATTATTTTTCATTATAGCTGTTTTGGGTGTATATCTGTAGCTATTGTAAATAATTGTTTATAAATAAATACATAAATAAATACCATCTTCGATATGCAGCATGGACAAATGTGACACAGTCTCCGAAACAATCTTCATCCACCCTTGGAGTTAAACGAATCAATAGAAGAAATTACGGTAAATTTACCTCTTATAAATGGTAAGTGATTCGAGACTCAAAAATGAAACTTTTTATAAGCAGATGATATTAATTTTGAAGACTTTTTCAGACCCCCGGGCGACTTATCGGGACTACATTGTGGGATATGCAGGGTGTGACATCCAGGTTGTCTACAGATGTCCTCTGTTTGGAGGTATAAAGTGTTTATAAGTAGTGGCTAAATATTGTGAAGAACCCAATATAATATTTTAAGCAAAATCTGTTCTGAACCAAACTCCAACTGCCTGATGATATGTGGTGCAAGTAGTCGATACTTCGAGGATTTAACTTCACTAAAAAAGGAAAAACAGGAAGAATTCTCCTCCCGTGCATATTTTTTATTTATTTAATTATTTATTTTGTGTATCAATTAATATCTCCATTTTTAAAGACTAATCTTATTAATAAAATTGCTCTCAAATGACTAACATCAAATGTCAAATAAATATGTCACTCACCACCTGAATAAAATTGAAAGCAGCAGAGATTTGCCTCCCTAGAAATGAAAATGAGAACGTTTTCACCGTATTAAAAAGGGAAATCAGGACAGGAGGGACCACCTCCCTAGTATTCTTCTCGGTTCTACAAGTATGTAGTTCGATAATCTTTGTAAAATAAGGCGTAGGTGTGTAGTGTTTTTTAGCCATGTGTTTTGTATATTTCTATAATGTTTTTTTGTGTTTGTACAGATTCAACACCCCCGTATACATTTGGACTTACCACCAGTTGTACTTCCATGGGACTATCGTGCATGCGGAAAGTTGAGGAGGTACACTTGAAAATTGTACTCTCTTCACATAAGAGTTAAAAATAGTTAATAAGGTGAACTAAGGTGAATTAAAATTGGGAAAATTTTGAATTAAAAGGAAATAAGGTGAATTAATAAGGTGTTGATGCATTGTTAAAGTAAGTAGAAAATATTTTATAACACGTTTATAAACACTTAATTAGGCTTAGATGCTTCTTAATTATGCTCCTTTAGTATGAAATAAGAACAAAAGAGAGTTAAGTTATGTTTATAAAACTACTTTATAATGATTAATAATTTTAATAAATTTAATTTTTTAATAAATATAATTAACAATGTATTTAGTATTTAGTCGGCATTTACATTTTCAAAAAAGTTTCGTAAATATT